TGTGGAGTGAGCTTTTGTTGTGCAATCGCCTTCTCTTCACGCGATCGCGTCTCGTGTCGATATTTTCAAGACAGGGTTGAGCGCACAACCTTATGTTTTTTAGCCAGCGCTGTCCACGGGATCTTATCGCATGGTATCATAGAGTCTATCTCTTCAAAGGCAGATTTCATAGTCATTGTGGCGTTGAGTAATTGTACAGTGAAGTATGGGTACAAAAAGGTGGTTCGGCGCATTACGCGAATCCGCGCATTACGCGCACGGACACGGTAGGGCAAAGGCAACTTGTTCCCCTCTGCCACTCAATTCTCACGATCATGAACTCTGCGTTGACCAGAACAAGCAATCGGACAGACTTGCACGACATTGCAAGGCGGCTTACGCTTCGGGGGGTTGAACTCTGCTGTCCTTCCTGGCCAACGGTGCTAACTACAAGTCCAAATCGATCTACGTCAAGAACCCAATGAAAGGTTACATAAAGTCACAAGCAATCATAATCCAAGCGAACAGATCTTGGGTGAGCTCTCTTCCGTCAGCAACGGTACGGAAGTAGTCATTAGTTGCATAATCAAGTCGTTGCTGAACGTTTACCCTCGCAGAGGAGCAGAGGACGAAGTGTGACCCTCTAGTCGCTCCTCATCCACTCTGGTGTCACCTTTAGAGCCACCTCGCTGCAAATTCTTGAATTTTGATCTGAGTATGAGAAGATGTAAAAACTCTTCCGAGTTTACAGATCTAAAGCGGATGGCTTGTCAGCTTGTTCTCTTCAAGCTGATTTCACGCGTCGAGACTCCTTGATCTAGCACATGGAGTTGCTGCCTCTAGACATTGTTCTCGACCCTCCGAAGCAAGTATGAACATCAACTTCGATGTCGGACGAACTCATGTCCGTGATGGCAGGCGAAAGTGCACAATGACTCTTTCCTGAGAGCTTTACTGACTTGAAGTGAGGACCTCAAAGATGTGTCCATGTCATGGCTGCAACGCCGATGTTAATGACAGAGACGTAGAATTATTCACAAGTTGTACATGGAGTCATCGAGAGATCCTCGAAATTGAACGTTGGTAAGAAACAGAGTGTTGTATCTGCAAGTCCAATGCAATGCTGGAACTTGTCACGAAGGCGTATATAAAGCCTCGCCTGCCAAGGTAACATGTAGTATGAAGAGATGTTCAGAAGGGAATACTGTAGAACATGATCTACTAAGCCTGACATCTTTTGCTTAATTATTACTGATTTGTACAGCTGCCTAGTTGGATAATGCAAGAGCTTTGCATTTGTATCAACCAACGAATTGCGCAAGACAAAACGTTTCGGAGAAAACTGGCATGAGATTTTGGGTATTTCGTAAAACTACCAGCAAGAAAAACCGAGTGTGAAGTACGCAGAACGCCAACCCACTATAAAGGCATGTGCGTCTCTGTCACTCAGCTGCTGCTGCCTCGGCCTCGGCCACCTCTTACATCTCCACCTACACCAAAGTCACCGCCAAAGGCGCCGCCACCGGTCCCAGCCCATGGTCCGCCTGGTCCTCCACCAGTTCCGGCGTGATTGTGGCCGTGCATGGATACGCCGCCGTTGTATGTCTTGCGTCTTTCGCGGCGGATTTGACGCATGGATGGGGTGTCATTAGAGGCCTGTTTACTGGATTCGCAGCCCATGATTATGATCGCCTCTCGCGAAGGTTCGCACAGGATTTCAAGAGTTGTGTGCCATCGATTTTCCTTGCTGGGGCTTGGTGCGCTTGAATGATACTCTCGAAGTAGCCGTTTATGGTATTGTAGCGTGGGTTTGATGTGTATATGTCGTTGGTGTTGACAAGTTCTGGAATTTGAAGGGTGAATATGTGGAGTTGTGGTTTGCAAGTGTTGATGGCTCCGATTGTTCGTACTCTCAACGTCTTCATATACTCCCCACCTTCCGGCTTGTCTCTCCAACTAGCCACCCCGTACCCGCACTTCAATTGACTGCCACAACCAGGGTCACCCAGCCTCGCGCTAGCTCTCATCCGCTCAGGCATTTTCAAAGCCCTGATCTAAGGCCTCCAACCAGAACTCCAGGGGGTGACGCCATCGTCCCACAAAACCCTACCGACCAACCGAGTCGTCAATCGCAAAACCGATGTTCGCCAACATACGGTGCGAGCCACAGCTGCAAGTGCGCAAGCCCGTCCGACTGAGCCGTTCTAGCGCACTTGCAGAAGATTATGGAGGAGGATCGAAATATGTGACGAAACCGCATGCGGACGAAACCCGAAAGTTTAGCTACGGATAGGGCTGAGCATATGAGTATTGACAGGCATCAACGCCTTCCCCTTCAGCAGGAAACTCTCAATGTTCTCCATCGCCAACCTCTCAAACCCGCTCGCCGTCTCCCACGCGCCTCCCGCATCATGGCACATCTAGGTCACATTCCGCATCTTACACAACTTCTGATTGACGTGTGGCTCGTGCTCATGAACGTCAAGGCCAACAGCAAAAAGGTGACCACTCTTGAAAATTTGCACGAGTGCAGCTCCATCAAAGAGAGCGCAGCGTACGATGTTGATGAATCGATCACCCTTCTTGAACCTCTTCAAAAGCTCTGCAGTTATGAGTTGGGAGCCGGAGGATGATGTCGCGAGGACTACGCAATCAGCCACTGCTCATATGTCATCCGGGTTGTCGTTGTACGTGGCTTGCACCGCATCCCCCTGGTCCTCGCTTTTGCGCACGACATGGTGATACAACACCCTCATACCGAAACTGTTGCGGTATTGGTTGGTCTGTACAACTCCTAACGGCTGTGAAGTCGAAACCTCACAAAAATTACAAGAGCAATTATTCTCAAAAGAAGCATCCAACATTCATTGACCTGGAGGTTTCGATGAAGGGGAGCAGAATGTCACGTTGACCGAAACGTCAAAGTGGCTGTGATTAGGCAGAGCTGCTGCCAAAGATCCACATAAGCAGGTGCTGCAGGTAAGAGTGTATAGGCGCAGAAGTCAATGTGAAAGGTGAAGTGAAGTCGGGAGGCAAGAGCAACAAAGCAAAGGGCTCAAGGCAGGTGAGTATTGAGAGGTGGCGGAAAGAGCGCTAAGGAACAACAAATCGTTGAAACAGACAGAACAATAACAGATAGAGCAATACTAAAAAAAAAGCAACGACAGGGAGGATGACTACAAGGCCATCAATACCATAGGTTCAGAGAAGAGACAGCGAACAGCAAGAAGGACCAGGTGAAAACTTGTACAATAATGCTCTCTTAGTTGAACATGAGTAGAGCTTTCCAAGTTGTATGTAACCAGCATCGTTTTTATCGCCCCTCCATCCCAATCTTCCTCTTCCTTCATCTGTCGGCTCCCCATCCCCATCCTCAAACCACATCCTCAGCGACCGATCCCAATGCCTTCCTCCAGACAGATAATTCTTCAAGCTATTACTATGTTGTGCCACGGATCTTCGTAAAACTCTTGCTCGCTTCGCCAGTGTGATGACGTACGCTTATAATGACTTGTAGTAGTTGCTGACACCCCCTTTGTGCACAGACCACATGCTGAAGGGAGAAGAGTGGTACGGTGATGCAAGAGTCTGAGATTGCCGGGAGCAGATTCTTAGGTACTACACCCTGACCCATACCTTCACCACCACTCACAGCTGCTGCTTCTGCTAAGTCTGTTATCACATAGCACCACCGTCATGAGCCCGCTACCCTTCCTTCACTACCACCATTCTAACGTAGCATTAGCAACGCTGTCGCCAGTAGGGGAACCATTATCGCCCCTACTAGAACCTGCTTGCCTGCGCGGTAAGTGTGATACCCATATCACCTAGGTTCCAAGTCAACCATTTGGTGGGATCTCACATACTCAAAAAGAAGGAGGGGGTCAGCAAATACGCCCTAGCTCGGATCATCTGGTAGCCATATTCCCGCAACGGCGTGATCAGAGCGATATCTTCGAATGTGTTCTCGGTAACGTTGCAGCTCTACTTTGTGGGCTCCATCACAATCGTCTCGACGTACGGCTTGATCAAAGACAGGTCAAGTGTCACGGTTCAGGGTGCTCCTGCCTGTCGAACCTCACCTGCCATGAGAGTGCCTGCCACGTCACACTAGCGTTGTTTACAGCTACTCACCTATACGTACTGTCCGTAGCTTCACCCAATACAACCTCAGTTCAATCCGTCAATTCTTCCCATATGCGCACTGTCCACGCTTCCCGACATCAAGTGACTCCGCGAGATGCACGTGCTCGGGCGGAGCTACCAGACGGATACCCTGCAATAGCTTCTCCAGAAGCCTGGGTAGGTAGGCGTATTACCTGCAGGCGAGATGGAGTGATCTGAGGGTGGGAAGAGTTGACACTGCATTCTCTTGTTGCGGGGACTTGAACAGACAACCAGTGGCAATGGCTGGAACTAACCTAATCTCCCCACCACGAGAGGGAGTCGTTTGAATAACGTGGATCCAGGATCGTAGTCAAGAGTTCGACTGGAAGCCTGGTGGAGGGCGGGTGTGCTGGCCTGTACGATTGCATCCATCTTGCACACGGAATGCTATCCCTCTCTTGTGGTTGCGCCGAGGTTGGTATAACCACTGGAAGTTTGCTAGGCAACTGCACTAGTGTGGCCAAGGTACGGTCCCTGTGGCTATTTCCAGTCCTATGGGCGCTTAGCAGAGCATGGTCAGAAACCCCCCTTTTCCTGGGATCAATGTCAGATCAACAACCCCGCGTAAAGTAAACGGTATCGATATATGAACATTTGAAAAGTTGGTATAGTATCTCTCAGCCAACCGAGCTGTTATACATGCGCCAAAACACTGACTGGCAACGTGAATGCCTTTCCCATTCTCCCCACCAACACCACCTCACCCTTCAACACCCTCGACTTTCCTCAAAAACTCCCGAACCCGCCCAACCTCGACCCCATCTAGCGGATCACTGTCCAGCGCCGCGACAAGACTCGGTAGCACTTCGTCAATCCGATCTTCCTGCACGTCTGTACACAAACAAACGACCTGTCTGAACATCGCCTCCAGCTGCCCGTCTTTATCCTTGAGTTGCCTACTCCTCTGCAACAGCGCGGCATTAGATTGACAGTAGACCTCGATGCGCTGTCGTAAGACGTTGGTGGGTATTGATGAGAGATTGGCAGACAAGGCCGCGGAAGGCGGTAGCGAGAGAGGAGTGCTGAGGTAGGATGCACCGCCTGAAGCTTGTCGAATGAGGTGCTCGCCTTCGCGACGGACTTCTTCCGGCAAATCGCTGTCCTGCACCAAGACGCCAGCGCCCTCAGCGTCAGCGTATCCAACATCCCTCTTCTGACTCAGGTCCGTAGCCGCGTTTGTCGCAGCGAGCATATGGCGTTGCGGTTCTAGCCAGCGCTTGAGGTTGGCGATGCGTTTCGCGCGGTCCTGGCGTTGGTGTAAACGCGAGCGCAGAGTCTCAAGGCGTGATTGTTCTGATTTCTGGAGCGAGGAGAGGGTGGAGATGGTGGAGTTGGTTTGGTCGATCAGGTCCTGTTTGAGGCGTGCTTCCTGAGTGAATTGCATAGATGCTGACTGAAGGATGCCGTTCATTACTTTGACTGTGTTAGCATGGGAGGAGGGTCTTGCAAGAAAAGACAAAGGCTCACAGGGCTGGATCTCGCGACTCGTTTCCTCCACCTTGCTCAATGGCGCTTTCCCTTTCGACGGGCTGGCAGCGGACATTGCGGTATCTGCATCGCCGTGTAGATCACTGCCCACGCCGAAGTCGATCGGCCGTGTACCCTTGTGGTTTGGGATCGTGGGGTCAGCCTGCACTTCGAGGAGTTGCGAGATGATGTTACGGTTCCCTATCCTGGCGGCGAGGTTGAGGGCTGTGTTGCCGGCCTTGTCGCGGGCGTTGACCATCTCTTGCATGAACCTCATCAATCCTATCGGTTTGGGGTAGTTGCTGTTTTCGAGGAAGGAGGGGACCGGATGGGCGCCAATGTTGCTGCGCACGAGGTACTCGAGCAGTGCTTCGAGGTAGTATTTGCTGGACGCTGCGCGGCCCTTGATGGCGCATGTGACGGCGATGTGGTGCAGGATCGTCCGTCCCTGGGTGTCGCGGAGTTCGATGAGAGGTGCTAGGATCTCCAATGTCTCCGGGAAGCAGCTGTGGTCGAGGCTGTTGTTGACGGAGACTGCACTCATCAGCGGCGTCTGTCCAGAGGCACTCCCCCTGAACATGTTCGCGCCTTTGGAGACCAGCAGACGCATCAGCGAGACGCGCGCAAGTGTCGCGGCCCAGTGCAGAGCTGTATTCGAGCTGTTGTCAATCGGCATATCGAGGTCAGCACCGGAGAGATGTAGTATTGCGGGGTGGTTTGTGAAGTCTGTCCTGGTTTGGTCGGCGAAGAGATCTGTCAGCATGGCCTGCTTCTCCTCGTTGATCTTGTTGTCCGGGTAGGGAAGTGGTGGCAGTGCAGTAGGGACGTCGCCATCGGGGAGGCTGATGGTGTGGCCGGTCTGGTGCTGGTAGAAGGACTCGCTGGGCTCAGTGGGCGAGCCATGGTCGCGCATCATCTCGTCGCCGTTCGCACGCTGCGAGAACGAGTCTTCCTGCGACGGGCGCATCCGTTTCCTAGGCGGCTCCTGCGCGTCATCCATGCCCGTGCCGTACGCAGAGTCAGTGTGCCCGTTCGGGCCGCTGAAGCTGCGCTCCGACGGCATGCTCTGAATGCTCTGCTGGCTGCTGGTGCGGAAGGACTCCTGGCTCTGCAGCGGGCCCGGCGCTTGCAGCGGACGGGCCATGGACCTGCGGCCTTGCGAGGAGCTGGCGGGGCGGGGCGGGGCGGGCGAGTTCAGACGGGCGACCTTGTTCATGGCGGCGAGGGCGCTGGTGGCAGTCGAGGAGATGTTGGAGAAGAAGGTGCCGCCGACGCTCTGGCTCTGGGGGCGGCCGTCGATGCTCTGGGTGTAGAAGCGCTTGCGGTTGGCGGCCATGGCCTGCTCCTTGGTGGGCGTCTCGATGCCCTGGCTCTGGCCGCCCTCGGCGCTGATGTCGTAGTCGAGCAGCGGGCGCAGGATATCCTCGACGCCGTACTGCCTGCAGAACTCGCGGCCGCGGCGGTAGTTGATCCAGGTGCCCTGGTACTTGCCGTACCCGCCCTGGACCTTCTCGTGCTCGCCGGTGAGGATCTCCTTCTCGAGCACCTTTGTGCGCTTGCCCTTGTCGACGCCGGCCACCTTGAGGATCTGGGTGGCATTGAGCCAGCCGTCGGAGCGGCGGCGCATGACGGCGACGCGGTTGACCTCCATCTCGTACACCGACACGCCCGAGTAGACGGCCGTGTAGATCTGCGGCTTCTCCATGGCGGGCTGCGCGTATGCGCTGACGTCGCTGAAGGAGCGGCTGAAGCCGGGCGCGGCCATGAGTCGGCTGTGCGGGTGCGAGGGGGACTGCTGGTACAGTGGCTGCGCGTGCGAGGGCGAGCCGGCGGACGGGAAAGAGCGGGCGACCTGCTGCATTGCGGGCGCGGGAGCGAGTGCAGGCGCGGTGGAGGCGCAACGGGTGCGGTGCGGTGCGGTGCGGTGCGGTGCAGTGTGGTGCAGTGCGGTGCGATGCGCTGCTAGGCGGTGCTCATGGGCCAGGCGGTGTGCGCGGTGTGCGCGGGCGTCCGCAGGCAGTCGTCGTCGCGGTCGGGGTCGCTGGCGGCGGCGGGCGGGTGCAGCGTCGTCGAGTCTCGCGGGCGGCCGTTTGCTGTGCGCGTGCTGGGCGGGTCGTCGTCGGAACCCTGGCTGCGCTGGGATGCGGGGAGTGAATTGCCAGCCGTCAGGTGTGGAGCGCTTCGCGTCCAGCAGCTGCGGCGCCAGAGCACGCGTCGAGCACGGAGCCAATCACGCGCGAGGTCGCCAGCACCAGCACCAGCTCCAGCACCAGCTCCCCCAAGCAGCTCCCCCAAGCAGCCCGGCGCGGTGGAGGCACGCCATGTCCATGCCCGCGACACTGCCGACGGCATCGCAGACGAAGTCGCTGCACCTCCTGCGCTCCCTGCTCCGCGAGGCTTCGTGTCTGCCGGACGCTGCCGCCCGCGACTACTTCCGCCGCTACATCGTCGCCCGCTTCAAAGCCTACCAGCCCAAGCCCAACGCAACGGCCTCCTTCGATGTGCAGGCCGTCGAGAAGTACCGCCACCGGTCCTTCAAGCGCCGCCACATAGCCATCATCAATGGTCGCGCCGCACAGCAGCAGCGAAAGGCGCTGAAGGGGCTGAACTTCCTGCGCCGCGCAAACCAGGGCGAGGGCGCTTGCATACAAAAAGTGCTGTGGCTCACCTACGGCCGGCTGGGTCGGCGCAAGTATGCGCTGCTGGACGAGCTGCTCAAGCCGGACCCTGCCTGGCCTCAAGGACCCGCCCCTCTGCAGCTGCTCTACCGCAGCAACCTGCGCTGCCTGCAGTACTTTGAAGCACCCAACGCCCGCAACGCCGCCCACGGCAGCCACACAATCTACATCTCGAAGCAGTACCCCCGTCTGCGCGCCGTCATCACGGCCCAGTGCCAGAAAGAGGCGTCTCTGCACCGAGCGATGAAGCGCCCCTACATCACAACGCCCATGTTGAACACCTGGGAGCAGCCCATGCCCATCAGGCGCGCAGTGAACAACGTGCGCCGCTGGTATGCCGAGACCATGACACGCCTCCTTCCGGCTTTGCCAACCGCAGAATGGGACAGCATCGAGGCCATGAGCAAGGGGAAGCAGCCCATCGGCTTTGCAAAGAGACGGGCGCCTGCAGTCAGGCTCAGCCCGCAGCCTGCGTCAGACAGCGGCACCCTCGAGCAGATGCTACAGCGCAGCCTCGCCATGGACAAGCTCAGCAAGGCAGACAGGCCACAGGGACTAGACCGACCGCGTGCCCTCACTGCCAGATACATGCAGCGGCTCTACTCGCGGCTCCTAACGCTGTCCTGCAAGCTCGAATACGACGATGCGCGAAAGCAGTGGAATGCGATCTGGGGAGAGCCCAGGAAGAACACCAGACCTGACAGCTACACTACGCCAGTTGACGACGCGCTGTTTGCTGGCGTGGATGCTAAAGGGGCCATGCCCAAAGCCCCGAAGAGGAAGGACAAGACGGCACCGCTGGTGCAGCCGCGCAATGAGGACGGCGAATACATGCGCTTCCCATTCTTCGCTGAGATGCTTCCCGAGACCCATCCCGTGCGCATCGAGTTGGACAAGTGGAAGAAAGAGCGCGCTAACGCTCGCGCGAAGTGGGTCGCTCCGGGCGGTGACGCATCATGACCGTTGCCCCCACATCGCTCCTGGATTCTGCCACTCCACGACATTCCAAGGGCGTGTTGCAACCGCAATCAAGTCTGCAACGTGAAGCTTGATATGCTCAGACTACCCGCAAACGCATACTGAGCATATTCACTTCGCAATGGCCTCCACGCACGCCGCCATCCGCCACGCAACACGCCAAGGTACGTCCACTGCACAGCAAGACCTCCACCGCACAGCAAGACCTCCAACGTCACTGACTCGTACCCCAGATGTCCCCACAATCCTGGGCCTCATCCAAGAGCTCGCCGACTACGAAAAGGCCTCCTCGTCCGTAAAAGCAACCGTCGAGTCCCTCACACGCACCCTCTCCCACGCCGACCCATCTGACCCTAGCAATCCCGACAAGTTCTCAAAGGGCTACGCAAAGACGCTGCTGGTCACCGACCCAGATGGCACCGTCGCCGGCATGGCGCTTTACTTCTACAACTACAGCACATGGACGGGTGTGCCGGGCATCTACCTTGAGGATCTGTTTGTCAAGGAAGCGTACAGGAAGAAGGGGTATGGGGTGCTGCTGCTCAAGCAGCTGGCGAAGGAGGTGCTGAAGGTCGATGGGAAGAGGCTGGAGTGGAGTTGCCTGGACTGGAATGAACCGAGTCTGCAGTTCTATCAAAGTGAGAAGATTGGCGCAAGCAAGAAGCAGGAATGGGTAGGGCTAAGAGTTGAGGGTGATAAGCTGAAGAAACTGGCAGAGTCCTGAGTGCTGCTGGCGCACAGTTGTAGGCATGTGCGCCTTTCTTGAGCTCGCGATGTACACCAAAAGCTTTGCGGTAGGTAGAAGAAGAAATGCGATGAATGGGACAGCGCGACTCTTTCACCTCCACTTCACTTCACCTATAGTTTCGAATCGCGACTCGGCCTCGCAGCTGATTATGCCGACCTGCTAGCTGAGTGGACGAGCGGAACTACGACCTGCTCGAACAGGTCCTATCGCTTGACCCGTACAGTCAACCACGCCTACAGGGCACGCATATCCGACACCTTCCCTGTTCTACCAGAGGCCTGTGGACGAAACCATTGCACCGGCAGTTACTTACTAGAGGTACGAACAAGGCAGTGAAGCACTAGCCCCGTCAACACCGTAGGTAGTTACGTGCTCGGTGTGATAAGAGAGTTGTAACAAGAAGAAGGACAGCTCAACTACGAGAGCAGCTGGTTCCCATGCTTCTCGAAATGACGACGATCCTACTCCGAGCACCCTGTCCTGTCGATGCAGCGAAATTGACATCAATGGCGATGTATTACGTCACGAGCTCTCCGAGCAAGAGATCTTGAGACACGGTCTTCGATCTCACAGTCAGCTCCAAACGAGCAACAAGCTCGTAACTGCACACTCGTCTTCCATAGTCTTAGACTCACATAGGACGTTAAACCAATCAATCGTAACTGCTCAGGGTTACGTTGAAACTCTCAAGAAGGGACCAGATTGCTCTATCTGCCAGTTCGTACTTTCCACCATTGAAGAACAATATAAGACGTGTACGGAGCCAATACAAGGCATGTAAGGAACCAATACCCCCCCCCCCCCATCATTAGTATCGCCTGCTATGGCGATACGTCTCAGAGCATGTCAATAGGTATGCCAAAAAGGACCACAAGTATGTTAGATACATACAGGTCTTGTCGCAAACAGTCAGCGAGGCGAATGAGAAGACTGGCGTATGGATACTCCACAGCAAGGCTAGGAACGCGGGGCGCCTGGGGGCTTAGACCTTGTCTGGTATCAATTACTGGCGACTATCCAAGACTCGATCACCCTTGTGAAGGAATTCGGCATCGTCAACTTTGGATCAACAGCCTCTGGTAAGCCACTCTCTACACCTAGGGCCTGAGACTGACGATTATTATATCATCATTCAAGGTGACCCCAAAAGCAAGGAGGTCATCATAGACTCCATGGATGCCATTTGTTCTAGTTCATACTTCAGCAGAGTCGCTGCATCTGGCGACAACGCTGGCTCTGGACTTCCGGGTGTCAAAGAAGGCTCGAGACATCGCGTTCAGAGATGTTGTGCAACTGGCACGTCAAAAGAACTCTCCATGGGTAATTAGAGGATGGACGTATGTGCTCCGCGCGCCCGTTACCGCACTTCTACTGACATCTTGCAGCTTCCAAGAATGGTTATTGTGCTCAAGATACCTCTTCCTCCTTGTGTCGCAAGTCATCTTCTCCTACCGCTATGCAACATTTCGGGAAGACATCATCACCCAGGGTGTTACCCCGCGAATGAACACCCTCAACCATGTCGACTCCAGCTATCTCTGTACTGACTACGAACTGTGGCCACACCGTCGCTTCATGCTCCACCGCGATCTGCACGGCGGCCTCGGTGATATCCTAATGACGATCATACGCGAGTTTCTGGAAGGAAAGTTGACCTACAACAACGACGTGCTGAACGCTTTCCAAGCTATGCTGCGCGACTTTGCGCGTCTCACACAGTCTGAGGCGGACGTGGGCACGATAGTCCGAATGCTAGATTGGGCCACCTTGTTCGACGCCAGCAGCTATAGAAGAGAGCATTTCCCGAGCTAGACCCGTTGTGGATGGGGCAGAATCCCGTCGTGGTATATTGATGGCGATACCTATGAGTGGATCAATGCGGAATCATAGATTGTTTGGCTCTTCCGCGGCATCGAGGCTACATCAATCCCGAGCGTCCCCCGAGACAAGAGGTGGAAGTGGGGTTTGAGCCGAGAAAAGGCGAGGGAGATGTCTGATCTTGAGGATTGGAACGACTGCACACTCTCTGTGATGGTGCAGTGGCACTTCTTCAAGTACGATCACAAGACGGACGCAATACCAATCGACCTCGTCATTGGCGACTAATTCAGCCCGAATGTCGCTAGGAACAAGGGCTTCCTACAGTTTTGGTCGTTCAGCCTGCCGTTGACTTCCAACTGCGCAACCAAAAGACACCCGAACAAGTTGGAGCTTTCGGATCTGACCTTCGATATCGACGGCGTTCCTTGCGCGAACCATGGCTCCAACATTTGCATGTATAGACTTTGAGATCAGCATCGATCTTGTCCGCGACGCGATCGAGCCTATTTTCGAATGTGAACGTGTCGAATTGACCGAGGTAGCGAAGGATGTTCACAGTAGCACTGCTCGAAAAAGGGACTTCTCCATCAACAAAAATTAGAGTCCTTCGAAGTAGTCTTTCTGGATGGGGCTCGGTTCAGGTTTCCAGCAAGTCTAACCGCGCGCTTACCTAGCGTCGGGAAGACGTCGGACAGATGAATTCAAATGGCTCGACCTTATGTCCATCTTCTGCTGTGGTTAGGATGTCTATACGAGCTTACCTGCGAAACTTTCACTTGGCTTCGAGCCTCAGCAAGACACGGGTCAATGATCCAGTTCTCGGGATCCTTTGACTGTACCGTTTGCTACCTTTGGGACGCTGAGATGATGCTTGCCGAATAGCCACGCCCAGGCGGGATGTACGTCCAGGCGGGATGTCCGCCCCTTCCTCCACCAAAAAGCTCGCGTGCCGCATACCTTCCGGTCACAACGCGCCGCAATTAGCTCCAACGTATCATAAATTTAACCTCTGGACGGTACCTAAATCAGGTTCCAGACGCTTACGGTTGCACGCGAACCAATCCAAAGAGCGCTCAATGTTTTGTCAAAGCAAGGGTCCCACCAATAAGAGTGCGCCAAGCGTGGCGTAGCTGAATATGGGTGATCTTTTCCACTCTAGGGTCGGATCGATGCCGCTGCACAATTAATGTCCATGTTAATGCTTGCAAAGCCGTCATACAAGTCACGCTGTCACAACGAATTGAACGTACGGCAGATTCTATGGTGTTTCTCAATGGCCCACTAACATAGTTCAAGAGGTACGGTCCATATTTACTCATAACCCTCGCCTGCAGGTGCGCCTTGGGAGCCGTACCTTAGCACCGCTTCGAGGGTGAAACATGGAGGCTTATAAGTAGTGCCTACTGTCTCTCTTCGCCGCCCCGCGCAAAATCACGTACCAGGATTTTGAACCTCACCACCAGACATCACGTCTGATCTCAATAATGGTCCATCAGCGGCAAGGCTGGTACCCTCCTGCCCTACGTTGGTGGAATCTCATCCTTGCTATTCTGTTCTGCTGGACCTCCATCGCCGTCCTTCAATTCTATCTCCACAAGAGTCAAACTGAGGGCGGGTTAATCTTCGCAGCAAAGATCAACGACATTCCGCTACGCCGCTCGTTCTGGTATCTCTACTTGCCAACAATTGTCGCCGTGATCTTCAGCATCTTCGTTGTTTGGATAGACCACGATGCTAAGCGCTACGAACCATATCGTCAAATGTCACAATCAGAAGGAGCGCTCGCGAAAGACTCCATTCTATTGCACTATCCGTTCGATTTCGTCCCTTTCGTACCTTTTGTTGCCGCTAAGAGAAAGTCAGTACCGCTAGACAAGTATCGAAGATCGAGAATTGATGACTGATATTGTGCAGGCACTGGTTGGTCTTCTGGGCGTCGCTCACAGCTGTTCTGACTACATTCGGCATTGTACCTCTTCAAGCTAGTATACTCTCGGTCAAACAAACAACACGGACATACCCCGAGACTTTTGCGGTCTCGAGCAACTTCATACCTTCTTCGATGCAAGAGTCTGGGCTTGGTCTGCGTTACGCGCAGTCAGCATACGGTATACTGGAATTGAACGAGACGCTCCCATCATTCATGTCACGAAATTACACACTAGCGCCATTCAAAGCAAAGACATCTCACGCTCCATCTGGAAACCTCGACACCTGGACAACAAACACTACTGTGTACAGCATGGACATGCAATGTCAAATTGTAGACACATTCGTCCAGGTAGGGTGTGATAAGGGGTGTCGAGAGTTCCCCACCACCTACTTCAACACCTCCGCCGGATGCACTGTTGGACTCCCCGACTTTGTGAACAATACGATCGGTACCCCGCTCCGAATTCGTGCAGGCATCAGCGATGGCAAGGCACGTTACAAGACCTTTTCCACCGTCTACGCTGGATACTACAAGGATCGCTCTTTTCCGAACAACGTCAATACCACACTTCAGAATTCACCGTGCAAAGGGACTGTGGTTGCGGCGTTCATCAGAAATAAGAGCAAAGACACCGACCCTCCCAACAACATTACAGCAATAGCATGCAGGCCGAGTTACTATGAACAGAATGTCGAGGCGACCATCAACGTTGTTACGAAAAAACCTTTGGAGCTCAATTTTCATGGGCCAAAACGACCGTTGTCCGAGGTTTTGTTCAACAGCAGTTTGTTTGAGGGCACAGTAGCTTCCGCCATTTCCAGATCCAACGACATCGACAGAAGCGACAATCTACCGGGCACTGTTCTACCAAACTATCGCGAGGGCAACAACGATCTAGACCTGTCCCCATATGGACCGGGTTCCGGTTTGCAACTTCCTCACATGGCCGCAATGGCTATTGCAATATCTGAACATCGCATCGCCGACTTTCTCGATCCAATAGTACTGCAAGAGGCTTATGAATCTGCATACAGGCTGCTTTTTGTACGTTCAATGGTGGACGTGCTGGCCACAAACTTCTCCGATCATACCGTTGAGACTGATGGTCAACGGGTTGTTCGGACGGAGACATTGTTGTTCGAGCCGACCTTCACGTATCTTGTTGAGTGTCTCCTTGGACTGGTTTCTCTCTCAGCAATTGCGTTGCTCTGTATTTCAATCCATGAATCGGGATACAAGAAACTCATTGATGAACCAGGTATGTTGCGAGCGTCTCTCGATTGCCTTTCGCTTACAATACAGGTTCCATCGCTGCGACGATGGCGATGGTCGCAGATGATCCCCGGTTAATCTCTACTTTCGAGGACTTGGATTGCTGTTCCACTCCTTACATGAAACGGAAGCTACTAAGGCGAGCATATATCCTCGATAATCACAACTCCCAACCTCAGTGAGTTATTCTAGTGTTTGAAAAATCAAACAAGTCTGAAAATTGATAGTATCTACGAAGCACCACCGCCTGCTGAAGCGCAGCAATCGTTGTTGCATGATCCAGGCGAGGGTGTAATGGATGAACCGCAAGTCATCAAGGCCATCAAGCCTGCAGAGTTTCGTTCATATGTTGCGGTCCCTTTCACCAGTCTATTCGTCGCACTCTTGATCATTCTCGCCATAACTTTCGCCAAGAGTCAGCCACAAGGTAAACAGGAGATGCCATTCAGAATTCAAAGCCACTATTGACACTCATTAGGTCTGCCCCTGCCCTCCCGTAACCCTATCACGTACAACATCGTCGTCAAGTATTTGCCAACGGCAGCTGCAACCCTCATCGAGCCTATGTGGATCTTGATCAATCGCTTGCTTTGCGTGTTGCAACCACTCGAGAGGCTACGCCGCTCCCAGGCACCAGCATCAGTTTCAATTTCATTGAACTACACTTCGCTTCCACCGCAACTCATGATCACCAAAGCCCTCCGTGCAGGCCACTTGACGATAGCCGCCGTCTGCGCAATGGCACTTTTAGCAAATCTGCTTGCAACAAGTTTCGCAGGGCTGTTTTACCAACAAGAAGTTGAAATCGCCCGACCCAGTCTGTTCACACCCCCATTTGAGGCTCGGTTCGCGAACATCAGCCGTTCCACCAATCACGGCGTGTCGGACTCAGACCCTGTTGCCTGGAGGCTTGGGGAAGCAAACGATACAAGTCAGATTGTGGAAGCCCCTTTTCTTGCATCCGAAACGAACTACACCCGGAACACTACCATGCCAGCCTGGGTTGATGATGCCGCTATGTATGTTCCCTTCTTGATCTCCAACTCTACTGCGCAAGTGCCAGGTGGGGGGTATAAAGCGCGGACAAGGTACTTTGCCGCAAATCCAAATTGTAAGCCTTTAGTGTTTGATCAGGACTATCGGCTGCGCTTGGCAATGAATTGGACTCCGACGCAAGGTAGTAATTCGAGCTGGACTTTTGCCATAAAAGTCCCAAGCAGGAATGCTACAGACGTCTGGTGCTATGCGGGCCGGGAAGCTGAGGCTGTCGCACTTGGACCCTACTTCAGAGACCAAAGCGAAGATACCTCACCTCCGCGTGGTAAAACAGCCGTGGAATTGCTAAGGGATATTAACTCCCGATATGCAAGCCGATATGAAGCGGATACCTGCCAGTCCTCTGCGATAGTGGGTTGGATGCGTACAATCGACTTCGGAGAGGCCAAGAGCAACAATACATTCCTGATGGCTTGTCAACCAAAGCTATTGGTGGGAGAAGCCGATGTTCATGTCGACAGCAACGGCGTGTTGCAGTCGCCAGCCACAAATCGATCGTTGGACGCCGACCAGAGTGCGCAAGCGCTCAGCAGATACACTACTAACGGTACGGACAACTTAATCGCCCAGTCCAACCGCATCTTGTTCCGTTCAGGATTCTCGGGCTACCACAATGATTCTTTCACAGGCGAAAAGTTCCATTACTTTATCAATCGCGCAGCAGGCGACTTGCGTTTCACAGACCCCAACGCGCCCTTGCCGACGTACGAAGACGTCATTGAGCCGCTTACCAAAGCGTACCAAAGGCTCTTCGCCATCTGGCTCAGCGTCAACAAGGATATCCTCTTCGTCCCGGCATCGAGCACCACCGCGCAGATCCCAGGATTCGTAGTCGCGCCAGAACAGCGGCTCTTCTTGGTCACCCCGCTCTTCATCATCTCCGAAGTCATCCTTGGTATCTACATCATCGTATCCATCGTCGTGTACCTGCGCCGCCCTGGCGCCTATCTGCCCCGCATGCCCACCTCCATCGCCGCCATTATTGCGCTCTTCGCGTCCAGCGCCGCTGTCAGAGATCTGCAGGGCACGAGTCACATGACGAACAAAGAGAGAAACAAGTATTTGAAAGAGCTTGATTGCCGGTATGGATACGGAAGCTATGTGGGTGGCGATGGCAGTGTGCATGTGGGTATCGAGAAGGCACCGTTCGTGCGGCACAGGAAGAACACTACGTTCGAAGGGAGCCGGGTGGAGAAAGAAATGAGTAAACGGAAAGAGGGTGAAGGTGCAGCAACGATCACGACAGTCACGGAGTACCGCGATGTCCCGCTTGTAGATATGGACAATGGGCGGAGATAGAGATGGCGTGCTCCGAGCCGAGAATACGATGCTCTTGAATTTGACTTGATCGCAACGCGTCTATGCGTGGGCTTGGACCTTCCCAACCAGCCATGAAGTCATCTTCGGCTAGTGGTCAAATGTGTGGGCTAAGTTGAGCGGGGTTTATGGTTTGCCTAGTATAGGTAAGTATGTGTCACAGTTCAGGGTGCTCCTGCCTGTCGAACCTCACCTGCCATGGGAGTGACTGCCACGTCACACTAGCGTTGTTTACAGCTACTCACCTATACGTACTGTCCGTAGCTTCACCCAATACAACCTCAGTTCAATCCTTCAATATATCCGCACATGCGTACTTCACTCACGATCCAGCGCGACAGTATGGCTCATTCAATGATTGCTGCAGCAATTTTGGTCTTCCCCAAGGCATGACCCAGCGGTCACGTGCAGAATAGTCAACTAAATAAGCAAATCAGACGACTTGTCCATAGATATCCTCAGTGGAAAGGAGGTCAACTCTGGATTCAGGTCTCCTCATCGAGACTGAGTGCCTTGGGCAAGGCTCAACACATCACTGTTCCTTTCTCTATCCCTGTGTCGTTGCCGGCAGTCCTTGGGTATCTGGGGCGTATACACAATTGCCATGTTGGGTAGGATCTTATTCGTGTAGAGAACAGGGACAAGTGAAAGGGCATGGATGGCGACATACTTGGGCGGACCACTTTCAAAAGAGCTGAATTACTAGGTTTTAGGTCTTTCTGCTGGACGTGATAGCCTGTTTTACAACATGTATGTAAGAAGACAAGAACTTCGAAGATGACACTTGTGCGGAGTGATAGATTGAGTGAAGGCTAGCTACCCAAAACATGCAGCTTTCTTTCCTTTATCAGGCGCTGCAGCATCAATAGTGTTGGCAACTGACGCTTCCAACCTTGTGCAGTCATTAACTGGATGAAACACCTATCCCATATGAATATTCAGGCGGCCGCACATACAATCCAACGGGATGGGACACTATTCAGATCAAAACAACAATGTGTGGCAATGAAAAACAACAAGCAACTGCCATACTAGCCATCACTGGAGATGAAGAAAAACTCCCAGCTTGGCTCATTTTTCACGGGCAAGAGCATGGCACTATCAAGAGGAATGAGCAGCACACATGGGATGACCGAGTACATGTTGAAATCAATACTACAGCATGGAACAACGAGCACATCATGTTGCAATGGATTGACATTGTACTTGTGCCACAACAGGCACGGTTGGGAGGCATCCCATTCCTCCTTGTGTACAATTCGGTTGCCTTTCACATCACTGAGGATGTGAAGTCAAAGTGCAGATCCCTTTGTATATGACTTGTTGTCATTCCTGGAGGTACAACATGCGTTCTCCAGTCTCTTGACACACATATCAATCGTCAGTTCAAAACCTTGTGTGGTGATTCTATGGATGAGTACCTAGGTATTGTGGACGTCTGGTCAGCAAAGTTATACCAAAAAATCACTACACAGGTGCCCGTGAGGCATGGGAGAAGGACTCCAAGAGTAGTATTGTGAAGAGCTTCAAGCAAAATGGGACAAAAGTCGATCCATTTGGTACTGAGGATGATCAGGTATCACTTTGTTACACTGTTGGCGAGGACAAGACACACTGGTGGGATGATTATGAGACAGCTCAGGACACTGAGATCCTCCTGGAGGCTGAAAAAGATTTACTTACTACCACCACAGATGATGTTGAGCACCAACCGCAGTGGGAGTACATCTAGAAAGATCCTTCACAAGGACTTGAGGAGCTTCCCACACCTCCAGTGATGAAGGAGAGACCTAAGAAGGTTCTCAAGGATGTATATATACATCTGACAGTGTCTCAGTTAAAGCAGTTGTTGAAGCAGAGGGGTGTCAAAGGGTACAGCAGCTTTAAACAAGATGCTGTGTTAGAAAGTTAAAGGAGCTGGATGCTGAACAAACATTATCTCAAGCATCTTCTCAAGCATCCCAAGCATCTCAAAAACAGAAAAACAGACCTAAAACACCCCACCCTGATGCATGGCAACACTCCATTGATGCATCTCAAGGCTCATTTGGGTCGTTCAGCAGCCAGGTTGAACAACCCATCAATCCACGCTTGCTGGATAGGTGTGGCAGTACCGACGGGGAAAGAGAGGCACCAGGAAGTGCAGAATAGCTCAACAACCACACCGTAGAATTTAATAGTACTTCACTGCATCACATTGAAGAACCCAAAAAATGATTTCCAAGTGTTGCAATAAGATAATATTGTGTACTTGTTGAGATACTTCGCTACAAAGTCTTGGTGTTGTGGACTTGAGGTTGATCTAAGCCCTCCTTCCTAATTGGGCTACGCAAAACGTTTAGGAGCAAGTCCTACCGATAGAAGATCCTGGCTTGCACAAAGAGCCAGGATTATGTGTCATGGCCATTCGCAAACTGTGCTGTGCAATGTAGGAATACTATCAAAACCCTATTATTCCCCCGGCCTCAACTAGACGTTGTGTTTGACGGGCTACGTAAGCGAAAGAATACGTGTCACAGGACACCTAGACAGAGCCTAAGATCAAGACCGATGCTAGGGTTAGGCCAGGCGATCTGAGTATTTGTGGTCCAATTGAACACTGTATCTGTCACGGTTCAGGGTGCTCCTGCCTGTCGAACCTCACCTGCCATGAGAGTGACTGCCACATCACACTAGCGTTGTTTACACTCACCTATACATACTGTCCGTAGCTTCACCCAATACAACCTCAGTTCAATCCTTCAATATTTCTGCATATGCGTACTGATCACTCACAATCCACACCCTGACAGTATCATACCCTTGAAATGGAGCATGTGTGAGCCAGAGATAGCTCTTAGGTATCCTTGCAAACTATACATAAGCTTGATGCCGGAACTCGATAAAGGAGAAGGCTTGGCGCTTACATCCTCTAAATTACATCGATTTTCTAATCCTTGTTGTGTTGTAGTAGATGCAATAAATGAAGGTGTAACCGCGCAGGGCAGTAAGTCAGTGTCGAACTGCCCAAAGCAGTAAAATCAGTATATTCTGTCGCACGATTGAGTGTGGGGGTTGCAAGTATGGGATGTTAAGAAGAGTGTGTAAGTTGTTGTATTATTCTAGCATCGTAGCTCAGCTTATCTAGGCCCTTGTGCGGCACGATTAGTAACGCAGTTCAGGTTCACAACAGCGCTTGGCCTGCAACATATTCTGTTATTGTTCTATTCTTCTGTGTCCTGCCTCTCACCGGACCATCAACAGGGTCTGTTTACATGACGTATGTCTCGTGCAGCCAAGGGCAGAAGGTGCTTGTTGGAACGAGCAAGAGAACTGCACCCAAACACGTGGCACACATGACCTCCTTACTTCATAAACCATCACATGTTGACTTTAATGGAATTCTTGGTCTGATCATTCAATGTCCTTGCCATCAAATCGTGTCTACCAAGTGTCGGGCAAATCACCACTTACCCTCCCAGTCATCGCTAAGACCTTAGCCCTGCCATCCTAGCATCCGTATACCTGCTTGTAAATAACGACATCGCTATCGTTATTACTTCTATACCCCCCCCCCCTCCCCCCATGTCACAGCTCATCCATAGCGCAAAACCAGTTTGATTGCATAAACTTGAATCTACTTGGTCAGCAATTCTACCTCTGAGATCCCACGTTCGTGTTAGCGGCGGTAACGACATCTTCCAATCTACGCAGCTCGTCTACACTGTTTATAATCTATTGCACAATTTTGCTATTTCCATCTTGGATGTTTTCTGTCACAACTCGAAAATATCTTTCTAGCATGATTTCTCATTACAGTTTTGGTCACCTTTGTCATGGTCAGATAGCAGCTCAAGTAGCTAGGTATAATACATAGTATTTGCAGTTCATACCAAGCCTTCTAGTTTTGTTCAAGTTCCCCATTTCAGCTTGACGACAACAAACCTTGCTTGTGTCATACAAGGCTCTTCAGTCTGTAGAGAGGTGGCTGTTGTATGGAGGAGTTGAGAGAGGCTCACTGCAAGAAATACATGAAAACAGATACTAGCAAATAAGAGAGATAATGAGTGAACCCGAGATACAGGGACAGCGTTATATTGAACCAGGTATTGATGTAGCTACGCTGATGAGGAATTGTCATCGCATCGCGTTCAAAAGTTGAAGACGCATTCTTTCTACTGTGCCTGGTGTTCTCCTTCGTTCACCAGTAAACAGCTTTGAAAACCAAGACCATCATTGAAAGAGTGACGCAGAGCCTGACTCTCGTCATCCAAGACAAGTAGCTGTAGTGCAGCCACGGCCATGACGTCTCTTAGTAACTTGACTCTCGCTTGGCTCTCAACTTTGCACCCCAGCGCCAGAGTATGCCCGTCGCCGGCAATGCAATCCCAATTGACAAAAATGCCATGAGACTGTTGCCCCACCCGTATCCCAGCGTATCGTACAGCTTGTCTGAGAACAACGGAAACGCAAACGCCAGCAGACTCCTGAGCACTTGCGTCGCAGCTGAAGCCGAGCTGATGTGCTCTGGGTACGCATCCATGACATATGCATGCAAGGTGGTGTCGAAGATCTGCATGCCGAGGGACAACAGAGCCGCGCCAATGTCGACAACAAGCCAAAAGAGGCGGTATTGCGCCGCCCAGCCGTAGAGCAGGAAGCCGATGGGCGTGAAGAAGACGCCTGGCAACAGAAGCGGGATGCGGAGCTCGGGTACGCGGCCGTCGCCGGAGTGACTTGTCAGCCTCTTGTAAACATAGTCCATGAGCGGTCCGCAGAGCTGGGCGCCCGAGATGGTGCCAGTGCAGATGGCGATGTAATGCAGGCCAGAGATGGCAACGGATTCACCGTATGCGGAGACATGCAGAGCTGAGAAGCTGGCTAACGCAAAATACAGCAGGCCATAATTTATGCCTGCCAGGATGGCCTGGATCTGGATGATTGGGTGGAATGCCAAGAGGCGCAGGGGACGGGACAAACTGCGGCGCAGCTTCCACATAGTCGAGCGGCCGGATTCGCGCATCTCGATTGCGGCGTGGTAGCGAGAGTCGCCGGTCTCTTTGCGCAGTTTTTCGGCTCGCTTGCGAAGAAGGAAGGGCGCGTAACTCTCGTAGAACACGAGCAGGGAGGTTCCCTCGAGGATGACTTGGAGAATAGTAGTAGACCAGAACATCCATCGCCAAGTGGAATACTCGACAATGAACCCGCTGACGATCGGACCAACAGCGGACCCTGTAAGTGGAATCAGTAGGTACAGGCTCACGGAGCGTCCTCTCTGCTCCGCGGGCCACACATCGCCGAGCACGCCATATGCCAAACTGTATGCTGCACTCGCGCCAAAGCCGGCCAGCAGACGGGCGGCGATAAGCAGGCCCTTGGAGTTTGCGAAGCCACAAACGAAATTCCACAACAGGAACCACACGTTGGTAACGTGGAAGACGCGCCTTCTGCCGTAGACTTCTGACAGAGGGCCAATGATGAGCGGTCCAAATGCGGTGGCTAAGAGATAGACCGATAGCGCCATGAACGACTCAGTCGTGGACATGTGCAGTTCAGATGCGATAGTGTTGATCGCAGGTGCCATCATCTGCAAAAATCTCATGAGCAACGACTTTGGCATTCAAGTAAGGAACCTTACCGTCGAAACCATGATGCGAACAAAGCCCGTTCCAGATACAGCCGCCGTAACTCCCCATTTGAGCTTCGTGGTCCAATTGAGTGGGTTTTCAGCATCGTCAGCGGCGAATGTGACGAGGAATGCCTCGTCCCAAGCGGCTTCTGGACTGTCGGTAATGTGCTTGCTCTGACTTTGGCTTTGCTTCGGGTCGCTTTTTTCGGCATCCGTAACGCCCTTTTCGTTGTCGACGTGACCTTGCCGGATTACCTCTTTGCTTGCGGTCCCCATGATTGTCGAAAAGTGATTTGCGTGAATTGAATGAGCGAGCCGAGCAGGCGAGATATCCTTCGATAGCGTTCTTTGTCATCACACAGAAACAGACTAACGCCGACAACAACAAGCATTCTACCAGAATGTATTAGTGCGGGGAAGGTGGTAGGATGCCAAGACGTTACCACGCTTTGATAACGCGCTAACGACTCTATGTCCGACGCTCGAGGCGACCTGCTCGGACATGAGATCGCGCTCAATTCCCTCTTAGGAAAAGATGCACGTAAACCCCAAAATCGCGAATGTCCTGTGTTCAGCTATAGGCTCGGAGTTTACTAGCAATGATCAGATGGCAGCTGCTGTTGGTTTGAAGGCGTGGTGTGTAAGTCCATATAAATGATGAAATAGCGGTCTCTGGGTGGTTGATCATCAAGTCACATTCTGCCGACATGGCCAGACGTTCGGAGGCTATAGATACTCTTCAACAGCGTCTTCAGGCACTCGAGCCCGTGATTCAAAATATTTGCAAAGTCGCCGGCACGCCAGGAATCTCTTTTGCAGTATCTCACAATGGCCAGCCCATTCATCGCACGAGTTTCGGCTTCGGAGATTTGGAGACAAAGAAGCCGATCACTGGAAGCACGCAATTTCCCATCGGAACCATGGCCAAGACGTTTACAGCTTCGGCAGTGGGTGCGCTCGTTGCTGAGGGCAGATTGAAGTGGGATACACCGATCAAAAGCATCATCCCTGAATTGCAGTCGACGAGTGTCACTGTAACTGAGAACCTTACTATTGTCGACCTCCTGAGCCACCGCTCTGGACTAGGTCGCTCCAACCTCTGGTGGCAAGGATCGGATGCGACTTTGCTGCTCGAGAAGAAAGATCTCCTTCCGTACTACAACAGCCTGCCTCTTACCGGCCAATTTCGTGCCGACTGGGGCTACAGTAACTGGGGCTATGCACTGGCTGGCGAGGTCATTGAGCGTGTCAGTGGAAAGACCTATGCACAGTATCTCGAAGAGAAGGTGTATATGCCTCTGGGACTCAATAATACCACCGTTGAGCCTGTCAATCCCTCTGATGCCTTGGATCTTGCCAGACCATATGCAGCCTTGGACGATGCTTCACTCTATCCCATGCCGCAGCCACCAGTCAATGGCAGTACCATCATGGCTCCAGCTCTGGGTGGTGTCAGCAGCGCTGACGACCTGATGGCATACAGCATTGCCCTCCTGCAAGCCTTTCGTTGCGAGGCCGGTTTGCAGACAAACAACTCGTCTCTCGCAATCAAGCACGGAATGCAGCAACTGTCGGGCCACATCTTCACGACCAAAGGACTGCTCGAGAAGTCGTACGCGTTTGGCTGGTACCGCACACAGCTTCCGAATACCGTCCTCGGAATGGGATGGAACAGCATCTATGTGAAGAGGATGCCCAAGATTATTCCCAGAACCCACGTTGGGCCGCTGATAGCGCACGGCGGAAGTCTACCAGGGTACCATGTTTCTATCGCGCTACTGCCCGAGATCAACAGCAGCGTTGTTGTCTGTACCAACTCAATCGCGCTGGGTGACGTTTCTGGATGGGTCAGCATGGCACTCCTGGAGGCGCTCGTCGACACGCCGGAGCCATCGGACTACCTGGCGTTAGCCACCGAGGCTGCGGGCAATGCGGCATTGAACGTGAAAAAGTTCGAGGAGAAGCTTGAAGCGACGAGGAAAGCCGGCACCGCGACGCGTTCCAGAGAGGAATATATCGGCAGATATCGCGATGAGAAGCGTGGGTGGATCCTGGATGTGAGAGCGCGAGATACGGCACCATCCGGGCTGGAAGTGGCGTTTCAGGGCCTCGACAGCCAGGCGTGGGCTCTGTCGCACTACGAACATGATACCTTCTCGTGGTTAGCTTCTCGCGAAGAGCAGGCGAAGAGGGGACGCATGGTCACGTATCCGCTTGTTGTAGACCATTTCAAACTGCACTTTCAGATGAGTGACGGCGAGAGTGGTAAGATCGACCGGTTATTGTGGAAGCACGAGGCGGGTGCACCGGTCGAACTGCAGTATTTTATGAAGGAAGGTTAGTGAGGTTGGAAACGGTACCTATCTCAAGTACGAATGAGGATATAAGCAGTAAATAAATGGAATTAATGCTGCGCGTACAGTTGCTAGAGGGAATGTCAGTTCTGTTGTTCTGTAATATAAGATAGGTTGAGACCGTGGATTTTCAGCGTACAGTGTCCACCCACAGACTCTAGTGGGGCATGGTGTTGGCTTTCTTGTTTTATGTAGATACCACATACTAACTTAAATCAAAACAATGAAATGAGAGATCCAGTTTAGGAGAACCAGGTCTATACCGGATCGTCGCACCCCTCATTCAATTACAGGCGTCCACTCAACTCTTACCTCCTCCACCGTTCTCATTAGATCCGCTCTCCCTTTCTTCGACTCCACCACCATGACCGATGTGAAACAAGTCTCCGTATCGTCTGGTGGCGTCACCTGCTGCCCTACTTTGAAGTAATTCAAAACAAGAGGCACGCACGCAGCCAACTCGGGCTTCTCACGTCTTAGCCGCGGGTGTGGATCCTCTGACCGGAGTATGCCCCTTTTCTCCGGCATAATAAGTAGCACCGCGCTGTCATGCTGCGCTCCATTGGCAAAGGGCACGGAAAGCATGCGGAAGCGGGCTTCGTCCGCAACACAATTCAGCATGTGCAGCGCCCATAAATCAACGCCCCAGGTCCAGCCGGCGGCATACAGGCCGACGTAGCCTGGCGCACGGGCGTTAACCTCAAGCAGGAAGACGCTGGGCTCTTTGCCAGCAATGGTTGGTCTTGCCTCGAGATCGACGATGCCGCTTCCGCTCTGCCGAACGTAGTGCATGGAAGAATTTTGAATGCGTGCCTCACAGTGGAAGACGCCTGTACGGAAGCCCATACGCAGAATGTACTCGCGGATGTGTTTGCATACCAGGGCTTGTTCCGACTCTGGCAGCTGTGATGGGTACATGAACAAACCCTCTTGAAAATCCTTCCTCCCACTGCCAGTCACCTCGTCGAGATCGCCCGCAGTCGGGGCGTTGTCGCAGATGTCGAAGAATGTGACCTCGCCGTCCCACATGGCGAGATTGATGTCGACCTCGGGTCCGTCACAATACGGTTCAATCATGACTTGTGAGTTGTGAAAGCCAATGTAGCCTCCCGCCCACTCCACGTCCGCGAGTAGCTCTGTCTCGTTCACGCATTTGGCAACTCCGTAGCTACCCCGGCCATTTGTGGGCTTGACAACGACGGGGTAGGGAATTTGCAAGCGTTTCTCCGGATCTTTCAGCCGCTCCTCCAGCTCCTTCCTGCCCTTAACACAGATGAGTTGAGGTCGAAGGCTGTCTTGATCGTGCTCATTTCCATTCTGGTCTGGCTGAGAGCATGTGATGCGAGTGAGGTACTTGTTCGTGGCAATTGCCATCGCTGATGGTGCTGCAGTGGGAAGCTCTAGAAGCTGAGCTACTTGTGCCACCTTCTCAAAGAGCGGATCAAATCGCGATGTTAGACCATGCAGGCGCTGGTCACGAGCTGCAAGGTACAAGCGCTGCACGAACCCATCATCTGGGTTCAGGTCGACAGGGTGGAATGACACCCGCAAGTGCGCACGAGGGCCATAAGGATCTTCCATACAAGTTCCCGGCTGGTCAAAGACAACAAGGTCGATGTTCAAATGTAGAAGCAATTCGAGAGACATACGATAGTCTAGACAGTGGACGAGCCCTATGCGCCTTCGTGGAACAGGGTCAGGCACAAGGAACTTCAACCCGAGACGATTTCGGAGCTCGTTTTCTAAGTTATCGAACACCTGCCAAGGTGATACGGGGCCAGGGATGGTGTTTTGGGCCGTACTGACGGCACCAATTGCGCCTGTGAGAAGGTCGTGGAGTTGTGAGATTAAAGCCACATTCCCTGATTGAGGTGCCGCGAGCGCTGCGCAAGCTTCTATACGCTCACCGGGCTGAAGAAAGCTAGCCACCGACTCGACGTGGGTACAACCATACAGTCGTGTTTGGATGATGTTAGATTGCGCGACGTAGCCTCCAACCTTTGGCATGATCAATTTCACAGCTGCCGGACCTGACGTGCTGTCGCGCTCTTGTAGAGCTTGATCTAGAAATGCTCGAATATCGACTTTGCTGTCTCCTAGCTCCAACCCTGAACGAAGCTTCTGTGGCCATGTAACGGTTGGAACATGTTGGCGCGCTTGAGTGTTGTCGGGCAGTCGCTCGATGAGTAAGTCGACAGATTGTATGACAAAGGGCTTGGGGGAAGCGTTGGCTCGCCAGGCGAAGGAATATAGTCGAGGTTTCCCATCGTTCCCAGGCGTGTAGATGGCATCGAGTATTGTAGTCTCGACAGACGAATTCATCTTATGCGGCATATTGCTTGTAACGTTCTGAATCGTATGTGGCGAGTAGTTTTATTACTTCTTTTTCGATGAGCTTTTCTGAAACGTAAAGTCAGATTAGCGACAAGCACAATCATTAAAACCACGCAAACTCACTTGTACGTTTTGGAAGTTTTTGCTTGTCTGTAGCAACAAGCATCCTGTCCTTCCTCGGCGATTCGGCGATAACCCGCTCATCTCACCTCAACTCAAACCCTCGAACCCTATTTTCATCATCATTCCCCAAGCATCAAGCTCACGTCCAACGATGTCGCACGGCCAATCCACGATGACGCCAGCACGCTAATGCACCATCCGAAATTCCTGAAATTGCCTAAATTGAGTAAATGGCACTAAGTAAGCTTTCCCCGAGCCTAGTCCACTATCCGCTATCGGCCGAGCATGCTGTCGACACTTTTTCACCAGGATCGACACTGCAAGTCGTCGTAAATGTTTCAAGTTTGCAGAAGGAACGTCGGGCTTATGCATCATTGCGTAATTTGTGGAAGGAATTGGCAAGTTTGGTAGATCGCGTTGATCGCGATGATCGCCCTGATTGTAGGATTCTCGGGTATCATCTTTCCCTGTCCAGAAAGTCCGTCAGGGTAATAATGGTTCTGTGAGCTTTGGAGTAACTGCATACTTGTCTTGTGGTAAAAATCGACGTTTATGTTCAAAAGCGGGCAAGAGACGAATAGAGCTACAAGCACATGGAAAATTGGGCATTGGTCTCACAGTGTGCGATAATGTGGATATATTGACCTTTTCATACTTGGCTTGCGTTTGGATCGAAAACATGTGCTCTAAACATGTCGAGTCAGACTTCATATCTTTATCAAATACCTACAATGGCATGGCTGTAATGCCTTCAGCTGAAAACAAAACCTAATTCAAAAAACTTCTTTTAGACTATAATGATGGACGTGCAACCTTTGCCTTGCAGCTAGTGAATGGTTCGAATGCGTTCATGAATTCATCTCGTGGACTTTGTCATTCCGCAATTTATCTACAAATCTGAAAATGTAAATCACAGCCCGGCCGCCTCTGCAGAATACCTCTCAGCTTTTTCATTCCACTCTTCCACCCAGTCCTCAATATACTCCGGCATGCCGGGAAACATGTTGGTCGGCGCTGGTAACGGCGTTCCGTAGACCATCCTGCTCGGCACCACGCCAGCCCAAACCTTCGTTCGCATCGTCTCATCCTTGAGATCCTCCCTCGCCTCTCCAGTCGTGCCAGCACGGACCTTGGCACTCGCTGAATGTATATCAATGCGCAAGATCCCAGTGCTCTTGAGCTCCGTCTTGTTTGGATAGCGCGTATGCTGCCAGCGCTCTGGAACCAGGTTGTTGGTAATGAGCTCCATGGCATAAAGACGCTCGGGCTCGTCCTCGACGACTTGTGCGTATCCAAACGCGACGGCAGATCGGTAGTTGCAGCTGTGGTGGTTAGGGGTGAGTGCCAGAACGATGCCGTCCATCAAGGTGGCGGAAACACAGACTGGGATGCCCTCGGCACCAGCAATGTTGTTTGAGGCAGGGTTCTTTCGGGAGAGCCGCATTATGCGTGATGAGACGTAGCCATGAAGGTAAATGGAACGGCGGCCGTCGTTGTTTGGATCTTCCTCGAAGTTGCCGGTGCAGCCGAGCATAGGCAGTATGACAGGGAAGGCAAAGTCATCCTGGTCTGGAGAGCCGTGGAAGGCAACGTGGAGGATGGGTGCCTCGTCAATGATAGGGTAGACGTGTTGGTATTCATATTGACCTAGTTCTAACGGTAAACAACAATGCACACCTAAAACATGGTATAGTTGGACACTCTTGACGCACCACGGCCTCGATAACGGTTGACGGTATTCAGCGATGTCTTGGCGTAACCGTGGTTGCTAGACGTAGAATCTTCCGTAGTAGTGGGGGACATGATGAGACAAAGGTGAATTCTTGATTGAGATACCAAAGAAATTTCCGTTCGTGAATGAGATTTAAGGATCAAAAGCACCACAGCATACCTAGAAATTCCTTACTCATCTTGATTTTATCCATGTCTCCATCGGACATGGTCATCGCAAATGCGTGGATAATGATTGCTCGGCCGAAAGTGTCGATCGGAGTTGATATGGAGGTAGTACTGCGGCGGTGGTAAGCGCTTTTAGGGATGGGGTAAGTTGCCATTGTAGGTCCTTAGTGGTAGTATTACCTCCGATGTGGCGTACTGACAGCCTTGTCCGTCTTCCAGTGCCTTGAAAGTAGGATGTCCGACAGTAGGAACAACACTCACAAATGTCAGCATAAAAGTGGCCCAGGTCGGTCTTATCGGGTCTTCCGTAAGTATTGCAGAAGCAGCAGAACAACAAGATCACATTACAATATGCCTTTCCTTGTGCAGGTTCAAAACGACGTGCCTACTAAATCTCTTCCAAATCCTCCACCCCTAGGCTATCCTGTTCCCGCCCACCGCCATGCAGTCTCTGTTCAGCTACCGACATGGCAGGACATGCGCGGGATGGTCGCACAAGAACCGCGTGTTAGTCTTGTGCAGCAAATCGGCTATCCCAGGTCTTTTCTTAACCAAGATGTCGTGAAGGTGGGTCATTATCTCGAAAACCTACGGCCGCAGCTAACGTTGCCTTCTGTTCTATATGTAGGTCAACAATGCTTGTCTGGCTCTTCTCGGACATGCGGATGAGAAGTGCCTGATATTCCCAGCATTGGATCATGCACTGGCCTGCCAGGCCACGATAGCCGACTCGGCACCAGAAGCAGCAGATCGCGTTCGGATCCAGGCCGCAGACTTCCTCCTATCTGAGCCCCCGGTGACAGTGGCAACAACTACCGTCTCAGAGACTCGCCAGAGCACTCACAACGCTCGGCGGCGCTTCTTTCTCGTCTTTTTCCCTTCGCAAGTCAATGCCAGCGCCATGGTCTTTTGGCGGCTCACTGGAACGGGCATCTCATCGCGCCTCGCCCAGAGCATGCACGAGCATCTTGAAAGCATAGCTCCGGCGCCTGCATATGAGCTGTTCGGGAGCAATTCGGACCTCCTCCGCGAGTTCGCAGATGCGCAAGCCGACGATATGGTGCGCGCACGCATTGTGAAGCTCCTCCAGCGCGCTTCCATTGACCCTGCTCAAAGCGCCCGCTTTGCATCAACAGATGTCTTCCTCTATCCGACCGGCATGGCCGCCATTTATGAGGCCAACAAGTTGCTACAGAGCTGGCGATCGACGCAGACAATCGTATTTGGGTTCCCTTACGAGCTCACATTAAAGATGATACAGAAGTATGGGCTGGCGTGCAGGTTCTACGGGTTCGGTACTCCAGCCGAATTGGATGAGTTCGAAGGATATCTCGCCAATGAATGGGAGCAGGGACGTATGGTGCAATCGGTGTGGTGCGAATGCGCATCAAATCCGCTGCTGAGAACTGTCGATCTGCAACGCATTAGACACTTGGCCGATACGTACGGCTTCGTGGTGGTCGTTGACGAGACGATTGGCAGCTTTGCCAACGTCGACGTCGCAGGTATTGCGGACGTCATCGTTACATCCCTCACCAAGAGCTTTAGCGGCAATGCCAATGTTATGGCTGGAAGTATCATCCTAAATCCCTCGTCGCCATTCTACGCGTTGCTCAAGCAGTCTCTTGACAGCACGTACGTAAATGAGCTCTTCGGCGCCGACTCACGCGTGCTCGAGTATAATAGCCGCAAGTTCCTTGCCCGCGCCGCCATCATGAACAGGAACGCGCAGCACCTTGTCTCGGTCCTAGGTTCCTTCGCCGGCACGTCGTCCAGCACGCTCACGCACATCTATTACCCATCAACCTGCTGGTCGCGCGAGAACTACGAGGCGCGTATGCGCACCGCCACAGCCGAGTTCGTCTCCGGGTATGGCGGCCTGTTCACGCTTGAGTTCGAGAGTGTGGTGGCAGCGGCGACCTTCTTTGACGCACTGAACGTGCACAAAGGCCCGTCGCTGGGCGCGCATGTGACGCTTGCGCAGCCATACGTGCAAACGGTATTCATGCGGGAGAAGGAGTGGGCGGCGTCGTACGGGCTGAGCGAGTCTATCGTGCGCATTTCGGTGGGCTTAGAGGACGAGCAGGCGCTGGGCGACGAGTTCACGCGGGCGCTTCGTCTAGCGAACCGGTTCAAGGCTGGAAGAGAGCTGAGTGGGCACTTGGAGAGCTTTCTGTAGTTGGATTAGATTGATAGCCGATAGATTTTGCACACGAATTCGCGTGATGCACGCGATCACCAAAACACTCCAATTTTTACAACACCGTTACTCAATGCCACGATGTCGATAGAAGCTGCCTTTGAATTTATAGCTACTTTAGACCCAAGCAAAAAGACCTGCAACGTGACGTATGCAAAAAAGCATGGTGTTGTGCGATCAACGTTTGTCACGGCGGCACCGAGCGTTTTCACAGTCAACTACTACTAAGAACATCAACCAACAAAAGCTTCCCCCACAACAAGTTCTGGAGCTTGTCAAGCATATAGCTGAGCTTACTGCACGTCATTTACCAGCTATGAGAGCTATGATAAAAGATTTTGCGTCAGGTATAGACTGAACAGGCAGCTGAAAAAGAGCTCAAAGCCCGCGACGCTGCTAAAGGTATACCATTATCCCAAAAGGGTAATTTAGAGTCTCCTAGCCACCTGCTTAGAACAGCAAGCGTCAGAAACCTGTTGTTTATGCTGTAGATGGTTGCAGAGGCTCCCCTAGCTCACCCACCTGTCACCACCCGCTGTGGCCGCAACATCACATTTCTAATTAAATACAAATAGACTAAATTAATCTCAAGCATTACTATGCTACTTCAAGACAAGACCTCCTGATAATAGCTATTGTGGCTAGCTTTACAGCCTCATTTTCGTAAAGCTGTTGGAATGTTTAGCGTGCATCATATACGCGAATCCGTGCACCACACGCACGAACACGGGTATCCGATGCGTCTTTGGATGGCTGTTTGTCCGTGAAATACTATATCAACATCACTTATGGCTCCCTCAAACATCACAGCTTCACTCATGAAGCGTTTGCAATCCAAAGAGTATAGCTAAGAGCAGAAAATTTGACTGGCTTAAATTACGACACGGTACTTACAGCAGTCGGCGTTGCAGGCCAGAACAACCAAGACCTGGCGAAGAAGACCAGAACTTTACCCAACGCGGGCTCGAGCATATTCGTCCTAATCCCGAACAAAACAGGAAAAGACTCACACGCAGTTTGATGTACTTGGTCTAGTTTGGCGGAGCACCTTTAGGAGATGTGTTCGAGACAGTATGCCATTTGTCGATAGTAAAGTTGAACGTCCGAGAACAGTGATTCTATGTTTGAGCTCGACCTCGGTGATAAACATTATCTTTGCATTCGACGAAGCGCACCGTGTACGGCGCGTTGTCTACTGCCGCTCGGTACTTACAAATCCAAGCGCATCAAACTCACGACCGATGGGAAGGGGGACACCAATGTACAACCAAACGATCCTCGCACCTACCAGATTGTGTAAAATGAGTCCTTTACGTGCTGTCAAGAGCCCATGTTAGCTTGACGATCGCCGACTCGGCCGGCCGCATGAGGGCCTAATTGCACCATCTTTTTGAGCCGATTGGACGGACATCAACCTTCAGCGCCGAGAGTTGCCCTTTTGGGATCTTACTGGTACCTATCGAGCTTTACAGCTAAAATGAATGAACCATTAATTAGCTGCTATCTTTGAGATCATATCGTGTTTCGGGTGGTTATGGCCGACCTGTACAAGACCATTGCGACTAATTGCCAACTTTGTGATCTCTCTAGAGTCCTCCACTCGAAGCATAGCACCGAGATGCAAGAAAAGGCCGCGCACCCTCTAGCAAACATTCCCGAAGGAAAGCTTGGTAAGTATTTTCTATGTCAATCGTAATTTCCAAGCTCTTCTCATGGATTGCTGTAGAGAGCCTTAATGCCCTGCAAGCACAATACAGGAATGATGCCCGGTCCTATAAGGCGGACCTCATGTGTGGAGTCTATCAGACTCGGGAGGGAGATCCGTATGTCTTACCATCGGTGAAGCTAGTAAGTAAGTTCTCCAGAGTTTGTATGAGCGCAACCCAACGCTACACAGGCACGACAAATGCTATTCGATGATCCAGAATGGGAGCACGAATACCCCGCGTCTCATCTTGGTGAGGCACCGTTCCGAGAGCTGAGCGCTCGTATGCTGTTTGGAGAGACTAGCCAGATGATATTAGAGAACAGGTATGCAGCAATATCGTGACACCGAAGGCGAAGGCTAATCATTCTTTGCGCAGAATAGCGTCGATGCAGACTCTTGGAGGTAGCGGAGCGTGCCATATGGGTGCCCGGTTCTTGCGGATGCATTATGAGCCTTACAAATTCAATCCGAGGGGCAAGGTTTATATTCCTGCAGAGACGTGGGGTAAGTCACCAGAGATTTGTAACCATTAGTGGGCATATCCCATCTTGAGATCTGACTAAATTGCCTTCAGTCAACCACCCGAACGTTTTTCATGCCGCAGGTTTCGAGACAGCCAGCGTCCCATACTACAATCCCTCGACCCACGCATTTGACTTTGCCAGTTTCAATGAGTCTATGACGCGCATTCCATCCCACTCTATTGTCGTACTTCAAGTTTGTGGAAATAACCCGACCGGCTGCGACCCATCCGCGGAGGAGTGGCAGCAGCTTGCGCAGACATTTCAAGCCAAGCAACACTTTGCCTTCCTCGATCTGTCCTACCCGGGCTTCGTGACCGGCAGTGTAGCAAGGGACTGCGCGCCTATTCGACTGCTTGCTGAGACAGGCATTCCGCTCCTGCTCGCTGCGACATACGGTAAGGCGTTCGGCCTCTACGGTGAGCGTGTGGGACATCTTTGCTTCCCTCTACCTACGGATCAGGTTGCGGCGCGAGTCGAGCAACAAATGAAGCTCCTAGCTCGGGAAGAGACAGGCGCACAACCACGGTTTGGCGCGAGACTGGTGACGAATATCCTCGAGAATCCGCACCTCAGAAAGGTGTGGGAGGAGGACCTAAAAGGTTTGGCGCAGGACCTGGCTGATAGACGGGAGGCGTTGAAGACTGAGCTGCTTAAGCATAATGCTCTTGGTGATTGGGGCTTTGTGACAAGCCAGGCTGGCATGTTCTTGTAAGCTAAGCTCTTCATCACTGTCCTTTGTGTACAAGCAGGCATAGATAAACCACCTTTACTAACTTGTTCTTTTAGGTACACTTCATTTGATCTAGAGCAGGTCAAAAACTTAAGAGAAGAGCACGCTGTGTATCTGCAAGATACCGGACGACTTTCCATTGCGTACGTTAATACATCACGCCATTTTATGCTAACAAGCTGACATTTGCTGCCAGTGGACTCAATGCACGTAATACTGCTCATGTTGCGGAAAGTATAGTGAAAATTGTGGGGCGGACGAAGCATTGATTGTACACAAAGGTTCCGGTGATGGCGCTTGACGTTTGGTTCATCAGAAATTATCTAGTGCTGTAGAGTTGTATTCGGTAACAAAGCTATTTCAGTACACTCGCTCATATCTCCACTTTCGCCGGCTGTACATTCGGCGGCTCCTGTTCAACCAGCTTGAACTCCGGAATCACCTGAGACACCACCTCCCAGCTCCTCACCCTCTCGAAATGCGCCATCGCCGCCGGATGTGCCTCCCTCCATTTCTTGTCTAACACCCACTGCAGACCCCTGCTCAGCACAACTGCCACAAAAATATCTGCGAGCGTAGGGCCGTTGCCGACTAGCCACTCTACCCCTTCCAGGACACCCTCTAGCTTGTCCAACAGCGCTAGACTTGCGCGCTTCCCCTCTTCAACTGCGTCGTAACTGTACGGCGCTGGGTCCGTGAAGCCGGGGATGAGAGGGAGAAACCAGCGTGCCAGTATGGGCAAAAGCTCCTGGTTTGCGAAGTTAACGTAGCTGAGCACGAGGGCTTCTTGGGATAGAGTGCCGGCGGAGCCAAGGAGATGAGACTTGTGGTTGAGTTTGGACAAGTACTTTTTATATTGAATTAGCTGTGAGAGAACGCAATAGATGAATAAAAAGGAGAGACTCGAAGATCTCTAGAGAGATTCGGGTAGCGGGGTTTTACTTACATACGCAATAGCGATCGTTTCCGTGATACTAACGTCTGGACCTTCAAGCGCTGGGATTTTTCCAAGAGACAAGGGGAAAAGCTTCATATAAGCGGCTTTGTTGATATTCTTGCGTGGAACTACAAGAGATTGGTCTAGTTCGATGCCTTCGGCGGCAGCCTGATATGCCGTTAGAGGTACGGCATCAAGGCAGACTAAGGCGATTACGAGGCTAGTCTTACCACGATCTTAACGATGCGCGTCCGAGGGTTGTCCTATCAGCGACGATGAGTCTATGTTGGAGGGCTGCATTGCTTTTGAAGGTGCTTACATCGTAGCCATAGATGGTGAAGCTGGTAGTCATGACGGTGAAGAAATGTGTATTTGTGCATCGAAAGAAATAGACATACAAGAACGTGGTTTTATATGCCGTTCTGTTAAGTCCGAGATCCTCCTCGGATAAGCCAAACAGCCAGCTTACGATATCTGCCATCTCCACCTATGCACCTATGTCACGGCATTCTCAACCGAAAGCGCATACTGTGCTGATCAGGCCTTCGCGGAGTTAAGATGAGTGCGAATGAGCTGGTGGTGGTACGACTCAACACCGCGCGGATTTCTGATCAAAGTCGCCTTGACCTGAGTGCAGAATCTCAGGCATATCTGAAATAGGTCTTACACACTTGTGGTTCTTTTTTAGTGTTTGTATCACAAAGGGGGTATTTCATATTTGAGTTCCGATTGTTCGGTTCAATTTCTCGCCCAAATATTTTAACCTGTCACAGCCAAAAGTCCCCTATCATACTTGAGCCGACTCCCACCCGCAGATCCCTGCATTGTTAGTGCAACGTCCGTGCGAGACTTCGAAAGTGCTGAAGATGGCTGGTTCTCGTGAGCGCTGAAAAACACCGCATGTAGAAGCGCCACTGCCCGCCCAGCTTCCTGCTCTTGGACGACGCAGGATGTGCTGATCTCGCTTGCTCCTATTGACATACCCATCAGCTACTGCTAAAAGAATACAAAGAATAAATCTCACCGTGTGTGATCATTTCAATTTTGATGCGGTTTTCACTCAGCGTAGAGAACATCTGTCCCGTCACACCCAGTGCCCGTCTCACCTGCTTGCCAACCAGACTAACGATAGTTCTGTTGTGTAGAAGCTCCACATCTCCGTAGTCTTGCAACTGCTTTATCGCACTTTTGAGTTCTTGCCGAACGGGTTGTAAGTCGTCCTCATCATCGCCGGTGATCAGCGGGACTTCAGAGTGTAATGCTATGGACACTCGGACCTCGCTGGTACAAATGAGATCAATGGACAAGTTCCACCTGTCAAACACGGAGAAGATGCCGGCCAAAAAGCTGTGCGCCTTTAGTCGTTCCGCAGACCGGATGTTGATCAGCAAGATCTTGTCTTTCGATGTGATAGCGATTGGGGTCGGTGGACCGCCATCGTACATGTAAAGTAGAGGCTCCTGCACTGCAGCACAATCGATGGAGAGCGGGGTCAATGGCGAAGGACTGAGACCTTTCCAGTCATCCACAACTAGCGTCCCTGGTGCCTGTGGATTGAGGACGTTCTTGATGCGCATTGAAACGCTCGCACGCATCGCTAAGCGCATGGCTGCGTAATGGATGACTTCGGAGCCATGGAAAGTCAGCTCTGAGGCCTCTTCGGAGCTGATTACCGGAAGCATCTTGGCGTTGGGCACCTTGCTTGGATCAGCTGTGAAGATGCCTTCTACTTCTTTCCAGACTTGCAGCTCCTGTGCCTGTAATCCTACAGATATCATCGAGGCGCAGAAATCAGTGTAACCGCGACCAATCTGCGTGAGAAGACCGCGATCGATAGGCCCGAAGAAGCCTGTTACAACCGGCACGGTGGCCTGGCATCTCCGGATTCGCTTAGCCATCGTGTCTGACAAGCTGTGGTAGAAAGACTGGTCCATTGTGCTCTGAATGAGAGAAGGAACGATCTCGGAAAAGTCGATGGTCTCGCTTGTGATACCCCGGTCGCGCAGCGCGGCAGAGACGAAGAAACAGGCCAGTCGTTCACCCGTACTGATGACCTTGTCCATTATATACGAGGTGCCATGGCCGATGATTTTGGTTGCTCGAAGAAGCTGGACGACCCGCTCGCATTCTTGGTCGATTTCTTGCACAAGCTCGGCGATGAGTATCGGGCTTTTTATATAGTCATAAGCGGCACTGGTGTGCTCGATACGGATGTTTTGGACAAGTAGATTAGACCGCTCGAAGTCAGTACTCAGACAGTGTCTGTAGGCTTGCAGAAGCCGGTTCGTAGTGCCTTCACTTTTAGTGCTAACGCTCAATGCAGAGCAAACGACTACCACTTGATGGTAACGGGTGGCGGGCCTGAGATTAATGAGCATAAGTGCTCCATCATGACAAATGAACATGTTAAGGGGGATGCTCACTTGATGACATTTTCAACAACATTGAGAGGGTATTTTCCAATGCTCGTGCCCCCAAATTTCTGCACAATCCAAGAGTCGACCTCGTTATGAGCTGCTTCGTTCTGATCGGCCGTCATGCTGGACTTTAGGGGTTCCGGTTATCAATCGAAATACCAAAGTATTGTGTATGAATAAATATTTATTTTGATCATTGTAAATTTATATATTCGACCATGAGTATTGACTAGTGTAGTACATTCTCGTGTAGGTTGTATTACGCGATCTACCCGGATTATTCCCCATCAGTCCGCTATAAAGATCTTCCGCGGGAGAATAAGTCAACTAGCCGTGTCGGCCGAGGCACACTAAAATTTATGATGTCCGAGTCAAGATGACCTCTCGATATGACCTGAACTACCCCTGCATCTCGACAGCATTTTATTGGAGAACATGTCGCAGACGAAGTGTCACATTACATTGGTATTACGTTGTTCATTTCACTTTTCCTAGCGATTACTATGACCATTGCACACACCATTCGAGCCATCCATGCCCACTACCTTTGCGAGTCTGACGTTATCCTCGAAACTCGCCACTCCGGATTTGAACACTCCCGCTCCATCCGAGTGAACGATGAAGGCTTTCCATCCCAGTTTCAGTCGTCGTTTCAAGATCTCAGGCGTCATTGCGAAGCCTAGCACAGCGAGACCATTTTTGTCTGCGGCGCGCTGAATCTTGTCCAATGCAGCTAGAAACACTGGCTCGTCGCCGTCCTGACTGCCGACCTCAAGACCCTGGGAGCATCGAAGATCGCCCGCCCCCACCATCAAAGCATCGACTGCAAAGACACTTGGTTAGATTAACTGTGCCATGGGTCGGTCTAGACCGATATGAGGGGGTGGGGAAGAAACTGACTTCCAGGAACAGCTGCAATCTCCTCAACATTCTCGACTCCTTCCACGTCCTCAATCTGAGCAAATACTGCAGCGTGATTGTTCCACACATCGTAAACAGTCTCTCCGGGCTTGGTGCGAGTCTGTTTGCCAAACAGTGCCAAGGGTGGATAGCTGCGTGTGCCCAGAGGAGGAAACTTGGCTAAAGATACTAGCTGTCGAGCCTGTTCTGCATTTTGAACATGAGGCTGGACAATACCTCCGGCTCCTGCAAGGAGAACATAGTTGATGAGGTCCGGCATGTTGGGTGCTAGTCGTATGTATGGCACCATGGAGCCGTTTGAAGTGTACTGAATGGTCTTGATGAGGCTGGCAAGGAGTGTTGGGTTGAGTGGACTATGCTCCTGGACTCATGTCAGCCGTTTCATGTTTTCCCTTTACAAATGATGTGGATTCGTACTGCATCAAGAAAGCAAAATTGATGCGGCAGAGCAGCCACAACACGCGCAGCCTCCTCATGGGGAATTCTACAGCTTGTGCCCCATAGCAGTTCACCGCTCGCTAGCATGGACTTGAAATCCGTTGGCTGAGCCAGATCCAGGGCGTTATATTGTTTCGCGTCCAGCATCTCTGCGGTTGTGTTTTGTGGTCACTAAATTTCAATGTACGATGTTGTTGGGGTGTAGGTCATTCGAAGAGGTTCAGATCGTTCTTCCACGCAGGTAACATGAGCACTAAGTGAGTTCCCACAGTTGAGTGCTTGAGGAAGCTATCCACTAATCTCGGCGATGAATTTGATATGTCCGTAGTTGGATTCAAGATCTTCATCTCCGACTGTGACTCTGTCGTTTAGGCCAGAGTGTTGTGCAGTCGATGGGGATTACACCGGAAGGCGTTCAGCATCTCCGATTGGTCCACATCGGAGCTGTCAACGCCGCTTACGCCGTAGTCAGAATGAGCAGGGATTCTCGGCCGACGCCACGATGCAGATGTGCGTAACAGCTTGGAATCTGTGCTACGACCGCTCGACTTAGAGAATTCATGGGTAATGGAGAATTGGTTTAAAAAGGCCACTGTCGAGACAACGATGTCTACATCTTTCCAACACACAAATACATCACACAAGAACATTCTCCTGGTTTGAAGTTTATTCATTTGCTATCGCTTCCCAAATTCGCCATGGCCGTCAAACAATATTGGACCTCTCTTACGAAGGAATATCAAAAAAAGATCAAGATCATCCAGGACTCTAACGAGCCTGCGGTCAACTTTCCTCTCATCCTTCAACCCATGCGCGAAGAACTCTCCAAGGAGGCCATCCTCGAGCAAGCCCGCGCTCTCGGTGCTCAACCATCCGACAAAAGTCTCAAAAGTCCAATCCGGCAGCTGCTCGATGCCAATGGCGGTGCCATTCACCTCAAGGGCCTGCCCTTGAAGACAGCTGAGGACTTCTCCGAGTTCATGTTCGCCCTCGCTGGGTCCGGTCCTCACGCCTGGAAGCCGCATGAGCATATGGGCATGGAGGTACTCCGCCGTCCTCAGGCCAAGAATGTCCTCACCGCTAATGAAGGGCCACCCAGCCACTTCATCGGCTGGCACAACGAGTACGCAGTATCACCAGTGCACCCACATTATCTCGCTCTCTTCTGCAAGGTTGCCCCGGCCGCAGGCGGTGAGACCTCTGTCTGCAATTCAATTGCCCTGTACGACCGCCTGAAGAAGGAGGTCCCCGGCTTTGTTGAGGGTTGCGGCAAGAAGGGTGTTGTGTACCAAATCCCACACAATGCGGAACAGGTCGGCGGCATCGTTGGAGGCAATGGGCTGTACAAGGACTCAGCATTCGGTCCCAAGGGGAACGAGAAGATGCCTGAGACCGAAGATGGCAAGCGAGCTATGGTCGAGCGCAAGATCGTTCATCTGGCGCAGCAGGGTGGCTGGTACAAAGACATCAACCAAGCGGATGAAAGCCTGCCTGTCTGGCAGCGCCGCGGTTTCAACTGGACTTGGCAGGATAATGGCGACCTCGAGGTCGTTCACCGTGTTCCTGGCACTCGGCAACATCCGACCTTGGACAAGCCTGCGATATTCAACGTAAGAATGGTGTACATTACAAGATGTTAAGACACTGATACAGGCAAACAGGCTCTGTCAACTCGCTACACCAACGCTGTAGCTAACGACACTTTCAAAGCCCCGTTCACCTTCAAGAAAGAGGATGGGACCGAGGGTATGGCGATCCCCCCACACGTAAGTCTAGCTCAGATGCCCCTCATACGTTTAGACGAGGGTATCAAATTACTGACCGACTTTTAGTTTGCTGGTCTTGAAGAGGACGAAGTTATTCCTCGAGAGTGGTTGCAGAAGATGGACGAATGGCAGCACGAGCTTGAGTCCAGTATTGTCTGGGATGAAGGTGACATCCTGTTGGTTGACGTGAGTACCCGTTATTCCGGTTATTGAAGTCCTGGAAACTAACTCGGATTCCCTTTTCAGAACTTCGCTGCGCAGCACGCCCGTTGGGGTTGGGAGGGCGAACGCAAAGTCATGGCTAGTTTCTGGGACCAACCTAGCATGGCCGGCAAACCGATCATGGTCTGAACAACTGTAGTATACATTGATCATAGCATATACTATCGAGGTGCTAGCGGGTTGTTGTGCATGAGCAAATAGCCTTGGGGGAAGTTGTGGCGAGGGAAGGTCGGAGTACATTCGCTTAGCACTAGGTCAGATGATAGAAAACAGACACTGTTGAAAGGTGTATTTCGCGTTGCATTGCGTGCTGATGGTGCTGCGTAATTTGCCGAAAATGATGGTACAAGTCCAAAATAGTGTGCGTGGTCGTAGCGGTGGCTCAAACATCAAGATTCTCACCTGTTCTAGGGGGCTCGGGGCAGATTTCTGCTGACATTCAAGCTGTGCTTTCGGTACGCAGGTCGGCACAAAACGTGAACAAAAGGGGGAAGATGGTAATTACGCTAAATGTGATGAATCTGAGAATGCGAATACAGATACGGTTCGACATCATCCGCATAATAGACAATATTTGATCTACGAATGCTGCTGGCTAACATCTCAGGAGTACCCACCAATTCCATATCTGTCTAGTCTCGTAGCAGAAGCCAAAAAAATTTCTCATCATCATTTGATGGCAGATCTTGAGCACGTCCTGATTCTGTCAACTCGAGGTAAATTGCAACTAGGTGAGCCTCATCTGATTCAACTTATGGTAGGGATTATTAGTGTCTATGAACAACACGAACATAGTAGCGCGATTACGTGAGGGATGGCTGGACATAAGTCATCTTGGATGCCAAGAAGGTCATACCTGGCCTTAGGGGTGAATTGGAGCTGAGAAAAAAACATTAGAATGCTTTTTGAAACTTCTTGGATATATTATATTCATAGGATCTACTTCAAACATGCCATACCTACCACATAGTCCAAATTGTTTTGGACTAGGCTTGCTGTAGGAAAGCACCCTACGGCGCAGCTGGAGTGAGTCCGATCTTGACCCCATTACGACTCTCGATGAGATTTCTGACAAGTTGTACATACTCCACCACCGGGTCGTGATTCTCGATACTCTCATACTCTTGGACAAGCCGTATCAAGACGTAAGCGGATTGTAAATAAACTTGCTGGTACGCCGGGCAGATTCTGCGGCCGCCACCAAAAGGCACAAACTCTGGTGGAATCTTTATGTGGTTCCACCTGTCGGGCTTGAAGTCATAGCAGTCTTTTCCCCAGACTGACTCGATATGGTTGCAACCCCAACCGTAAACAGCGACTTGATCGCCCTTCTCCATGAATAACGGGGACTCTCCATCAGGTCCTCCACCCTTGGGCAATATAGTGTCCTTGAACGCGGTCCGGGTGATCACCGCGCTTGGCCCTGTCGAGCGGATCGTTTCATAGATTACGTTGCGAAAGGGCTTGAGAGACTTGGAATCAAAATCGAGTTCAAGTGAATCAGATATGCTCAGAGCCGTTTCGCGTAGTTCCTGCCAGTGGCTGGGATTCCTTGCTAGGCAGAAAATAGCGTTGGCGGCCAGTACGGCCACTCCGTCTCTCCCGCCGGCAAAAAGGTTGAGACACTCATAACGAAGAGTGATTGGATCTTTGATCTGTTGTGCAAGTTGTTCAAGCAGAACGTATCGAGCTTTAGTCCCCTGATCGGCTGCAGGTGGCTCATCGAGCACAGATTGCACCTGCTGATCGACGAATGCATGCACCTCGGCAACAGTTTTAGGGTATTTTCGGTCCATCCAATATCGGAAGGCAAGGCGTCCAGCTTTTCGTCGCTTGAGGGATCCAGCGTTGGCATAGTTGAAAGCTTCAATGAACTCGCCATCGCTGTACAGTGACCCTGGCAACAAAGAATCGGTAGACTTGCCGAAGATGAACTCTGCCGTCGAATCGAAATTCATCTTCTTCAGTAGGGGCTGAACATCTACGGTGCTGCCGTCGCGTGGTATCTGCGCAATGAAACGGTCGACATGTCTCTTGAACATCGCAGTAGATCGTACTTCTGCTTTCTTGAAAAGTGGCTTTATCATATCTCTGGAGAACTTCCAGCGTGGCCCGTCGGACGAGAAAATGCCAGGACCAAGAAAGTCGTTCTCGTGGAAGGCGCCTGCTCTTCCAAAAGTGTTCATGTCCGCATTAAAAGTTACTCGAATATTAGCCATGTCGATTGTATTGATGAGTCGCTGGCCGGCTAGTTTCTCCTCCCATGTGTGTCCAAGGTTCGCGAACCAGTGGTCGTAATGGGCCGACAACCGCCCTTGGTCGCTTGCGGCTTGGCGTTCCTGCATCAGATCAAGGCCAAGCCAGCCCTTGTGCGGGTAACTGGGAGGCCTCCGGCAGCCATGCTTGCCCCGCGCTGAATGGAATGCAATGTACCCACGAAGCTTGCTGTAGATATTACCAGTGATGGCGGAAAGAACGAATATGCCTAGGAAGCCAAGCGCAAGGCATGTATAGAATTTCCACACGCTGGTCGATTGCCATGGTATGGTAAAGAAATTCTTGTTCAACATGTTGGTGTACGAAAGATAAAGCAGAATTCAGGAGGCGGTTCGCAGACAAGATGCTTGATAAATGCGTAGTTCGCACTTTTGCATGGGATCTCCGAACGGACCGCAGGATAGCTACAACGAATATCTCCGATTCTTGATCTGGCTAAAGGCTTAGCGCCGAGGGGTGGCTTAGCGCAGGGGCACGGGCCGTGGGCGAACGGTCCCAGATCCGGCTAATGGCTTAGCGTTGACGGGTGGCTTAGCGCAAGGGCACGGGCCGTGGGCAAACGGTCCCAGATCCGGATACTGCTTGGCAGATCGCCGAGCGCAGGCTACAGGATCCTACGCTGCACGCTCTAAATTCTTACATCAGCTTAACGCCGAGCTGTCATACGCCCGACCCCCCATGAACCTCCCTTAGCTTAGCGCCAACGGATCTCGAGATGGTTATAGGTAAGATCGATGCGCACCCTGCATGCGTGGTTGTTCTAATGTAGAAGGCAGAAGAGATGTTCGTATGCTGATAGTCCTACGCTGCACGCCCTAAACTCTTACATCAGCTTGGCGCCGAGCTGTCATACGCCCGACCCTCCCATGAACCTCTCTTAGCTTAGCGCCAGCGGATCTCAAGATGGTTATAGATAAGATCTATACGCACCCTGCATGTGTGGTTTGTCCAATGTAGAAGGCAGAAGAGATGTTCGTATGCTGATATTTCTGCTGGGAGGTACATGGGTGTAATTTTGTTCGTGTAAAAGTAATCAGACAAAACGTTCTCCTGGGTCGTACAAAATACAGGAGGAATATTGGTGATCAATGGCGAATCAACTCAGCAGGCAACATTGCCGCATGCAATCCTTAACTTGTCCTTGGGCCCAACGTGTAGTATGTTAGGATTTTTCACTGATTAAAAGACGTTAATCGATAACGCCGTTATCGCGAGAGCACCCCTTCATGTCCGAGTCGAGAATCAAGCGGAGGCGTCTCGTGCTTTCGTGCTTTGAGTGTAAGCGCAGAAAGCTAAAGTGTGGACGAGAGACTCCCGTTTGTTCTCGCTGCGTTAGCGTAGGCAATCCAGAACTTTGCCAGTACGATCCCCGTTTCTTGATGGAAGCCGGTACGGAACCAGATGTGGGTGGCGTAGCTCGTGCTCATCAGCCTTGGTCCTCCACCAACAACTCAATGAGCGAGTTACCGTCAGCCACTTTCGACCACTTCGACGCCTTGCTTATCGGCGAGAACTGCCAACCAAGCCCTTGGCTACCTTTTCAACTTGATCTGGATCTCGACAGTTCCTCTTCTGGGAATGTGTCTTCTGGTGGTTTGTCTTCTGGGGGCTTGGATAATGAGAGCCTCATCGGATCCGTCAGATCCCACATGCAACAACAGCCAGTCACAGACCACAGGAAAAGCTTGGGTAACCAGTTTCGGGGCCCCAGCCACTCAATGAGCATTATTGCTTCATTCCAAGACTTCTGCAGGTTTATGAAACAGACTATTGAGGATCACCACATCCTCGGCGCTCCGCAATGGACTACCTACACGCCCAGTGCAGACAAGACCATTCCCTCCTACTCCAGAGATGGTGTAGAACAAGTCATCAAAAGTCTTCTCCCAGCAGAAGAGCGCTGTCGCCGTCTCTCAAAATGCTACCTCGACCACTTCACGGGGATCCACGCCCTCTTCCACGTTCCCTCTTTCTGGCAAGAATACCAAAGTTATTGGAACGGGACGCATGATGATGCATCTCGGTTCAATGCGGTACTTCTGGCTGTCATGTCATGCTCAAGGTGTCTTTTCGCGGACGATCCGCTGTCATTCGACGGAGACAGTTCTACAGCCAGAAATGAAGCCGTGGGATGGTTGCATGCTGTCGAAGCATGGCAGAGCTATCAATCGGCAAAAAGTACTACGATCGAAGTGTTTCAGCTTAAGTGCTTAGTACTCTTATCAAAGACTCTAAACGATATCGACCGCGAGGACCACTACACCGCTTCTCAAACCCTGCTCGCTGATGCTATCTCAAATGGTCTTCACCGAGACTGGAGAATCCTTGGTGTCGACGAATCCATCTATGAGAGAGAGTTACGCCGCAAGATATGGTCCGCTATAGCTGAGCTGGATATTGCGGTCTGCATTGAGCGCGGCGTCCCGTCTATGGCCTCCAATCTTTTTGCCGACATTCAAGAACCAAAAGGCTACAACGACTGCGATTACCATTCTAACACTGAGTTTGAGCCCCCTGATCATTCAGATAGCCAGCTCACAGATAGCTCGTTTGCAAAAATTGCACACTCGATCCGAACGCTTCGCTACAATATCATCGACTTCGTCAATAATCCGCAAAAACATAGATCGCTTGACCAACCCCAACTCGTGGAGTTACGGGTGCAGATCTCCGAAGCTCTAGATCGTATACCTAAATGGCCAATCTCGGCACCGGACGTAGCGGGACGCAATCAAGGGCTGATATATCGAGCGGTTTCAGAGTTGTATCTGCATGAACTCCTGCTTCTGTTGCATTTACCGTTCGCCCTCACGAAAGATACCGCCGTTTCTTCAGCTATGGACACCGACTTTCAACGGTTCATTTGTGTAAGATCCGCTAGCACAATTATCAAGATACACGAGCTGGTAGCGCACGAGGGATTTAGTCCGATAGCCTTGGGTAACGGGCATCTCTTACGAGCAGGACTATGTTTGTGTCTCCTTGAGGGGGGCGCATTAGACTACGGTAATTCTATTTTGTTTCAGTGAGACATCGAGACTAGCATTACTTATACCATGCAGGTATCACTTCCCTCCCTCTTTTCCCAGCCACACAGATTGAACTAGTCAAATCTGGCCTCGGCATGGTCGAGCAACACGTTCTCAGCCTGGGCACCGATCTCCAATCTCTGTGGCTCTTTTCCGCTGCCAGCTGCTACGTCGAATCACGTAGAGATCCTAGCACAAGCTCCGCTACCAAGAGTCGTATCACTGACAATATTGTTGCTTTGTTCAGCAAGATGTGCTGGGCACAAGAACACAAAAGCATTCGTCTTGGACTATCTGATGCCCACTTCGCGCGCTACATAACGCAAATCCACGAGGTATGCGAGGCTGTCAGTCAGGTGGTGAGCAGTAAGACAGAATTGGATATGAGTTCTGCGCTGATCAAGGTCGGAGCAATCTCTATGAACTCCACACATTGATCACTACATCGTATCATGCAACTTACTCAATAAAAGAGATTGCATACATTTTGAGACCTCCTCTATACACATGCTGCAGTACCCTAGCTTTTGAACTGTTATCGCTGTGTTTTGACAGCAATTTCTATGCTGACCGGTATCATGTCAAATGGACTGTGTGCACTACGAAGCCTATACCAGACGCATCTAGGGAGATGACGATAATATCTCTCACAGTTGCCTTGACTAACCCCTGGGAACCTCTGCTCTCAAACAAAAGTCAAGAGATCACATTTTACACTACACATGTATGCAGCAGTCAATTGGTGGCGAATGAGTGCACTGAGGTTCTACAATGATGACGTGGAGATGCTAGAAGGAAGGTGCAGCACGCTGAGGCCGCTTGTCTGGCGGTGTGAGAGGGGGCCAGCTGGGGATACCAACTGCTCTCTGAGATGGATGAATTGGGTGGAACGTGTAGGAGGGGTGAATGTATCCACCGATTGCCATCTGTTTGCTAGCGGTCCACTGCACTGATTGTGTTTGCTAGCGGTCCGCTGCAGTGACTGTCCAGCTCATTAAGTTAGTTCAGTTTGCTTCCCACCCTTCACTGCTATTTCCTTCTACTATATAGTCCCGATCAATTCTAGCAAATAGCTAAAAGAATCAATCAACATCTCAACCCTTCCACAGAACGACTGTGAGCATATACGTCCATATGTCAGTGCGCGCTCTGATTGTTGTCCGCTGCGGTAACTTTGTTATGCGTTAAGTAGTAAACACTCTCCAGGATAAGCATTGATTCAAGTTTCTTGGAGCAGAGTCCGCGTACAGGGTGAAGTCACACAAGCATGCACATGGCGCAAGCAGAGCTCGAGCCTGGGAACAAATGTCAGTATTTGGACATCATCGCCAGCTTGGAATACCTCGCTTTGTCTCCTAAAAGACTCAAAGCCACCGTTCTCTGTCTGTTCATATTACGAACCACTTGATGCGAAGAACGTGGTTAGAAATATGCAATTCGACGTAGACTCGAACCTCGCATTCAATTCAAATGTCCATCGAGGACTACAGTCCGGATGTTTATCTGCTTCCATGACTAGATTCGCCTATAAGGTCCAATGATATATAGTCTTTGTGTTGCAGTAAATGCAATAAGTGAAGGTGTAACCGCGCAGGGCAGTAAGTCAGGGGTAACCGCGCAAAGCAGTAAAATCGGTATATTCTGCTGTGTTCTTCAGTGTTCTGTCTCTCTCGCTCGACCCCCAGCGGGGTCTGTTACATGACGTATCTGTCGTGCAGCCAGAAAGTGCTGTTGGAACAGGCAAGAGCACTGCACCAGCACACGTGGCAGACATGACCTCTTCACTCCATAAACCGTCACACTTTGGCTTGTCAGATTGGCTACGCTGAGTACCTGAATGTTGAGACACATGCAAAGAATGTCTGCGACGTAGGATAGCAGCCAAGCTTTTCGCAGTACACACTTAGATAAATGGCAGGCTCTGCGGTATGGAAAATGAACTTTTCTCCGCTGTCGATCCAGGAACGATGGTACGTAGAGCCTCAGATTAACAGTGGAGTCTGGAACAGCCTGAATATGGAGCCAAAAACCGCGATGTTGAATTGGCTAATTGGGCGCTCCAAGAGACATGATGAACATAGTCCTTGGGCTGGGATTCCCGTACACGGCCTCGGCCTTCAGAAGCCTCTTCTGGATTGTGTCCTCAAATACGCCGTCTGCAGTTCGCGCTCGTGTCCAAATCGGGCCCCAAGTCTAATATGGTTTTGCCGCCTCTCCAACTGTGAGCACGATATTCTGGTGTTAGGTCCAGCAGCCATGCAGCAAGGGGATATTTGATGAGGGAGTATATGGTGATAAGGGCGTTGTTGTATTGAAGCTATCAGAGCGGGGCAATATGGGTTGTTTGCGAAACGCTGGGTACACCCCGTGACTTAGTGCGATAAAGTGACGCTAGATCTAGTTTGTTAGCAAAACGTAGTACAAACAGTATCCCACCACATTTTGCATCATCAGAACGCTCTGAAGAAGCTTAGATAGTCGATTTTGAATTATTGCAATACTTTTCTGGTGTTGTAGTTGCTATGAAGCATAAATCGAGCCGGAACAACGTTCAGCCAACGAGCAGCGAGCCCAGCAGACCTGCAAAACGTCAGCGGAAACCTACTCAGCCATTTGACCAATGTGTCAATCCTGCTCCTCCTACTCCGCCGTCGACAGTACGGCATCCTGTACGCTTACCAGAACCAACTCCGCCGCATAATCAAGGTACGCCAAGCCCGCCAGAGGCGCTGTTTGTGGCAGAGGATGAGGATGTGGTGGAGGAGTCAGCAGCCGACGCTGGGTTGGATGATGACAACGAGGTAGATGAGCAGGTGGAGAACGCGTTAGCTGCTGCCACGGCTGTAGGGGAGGTTACTGCAGGCTCACCTGGGTCAGCTACTGCAGCGTCGCTCGCTCAATCAAGCCAGCCACAGCGTCCAGAGTCAGAACAAATTGACGAGGAGCCGCACCTGCACTGGAACTATCGCGCTTGGTGGACGCTAGGGAAGAATTTAATTCCTCAGGCAGCTGTTGCGAGGCGTAATAAGCCGTTATACACTGTGGATGAGGACAGGGTGTGGCAATGGGCGGATGGTGTTGTAGAGAAGCAGCTGCCACGGGTAGCTATTATTGACAGCTTGACAGCAACGCTCTACTATACTAGTGGCCGCCAAGCTAAATCTGATAGGTGTACTATAGCACTACAGCGGCGGCAAAGTGCAGCTGGACGGACTGTTGTTGCAGGAAACTGGTTCGAACTTGAAGAAGAGCTGGCTGAAATGGATAAAGAGAGCGGCCAAATAATGACCTGTGACTTTGACTTGGTGTTGAGAGAGCAACAGGCGCCTCAGCCAGCAACTCAGCCAGCATCTCAACCAGCTCGAAGTACTGCTCGTTTGCGGCCAGGCATTGTTACTGCAATCATGGAGGAGGGTCTCGCTAGTGTTGTTACCAACGAGCGCTTTGCGTCTGGTCATGCTATTGGTATAAGAGACCATTGGAGGTGTCAGAGTGAGCGCTGTTCGAACAACCCCAGCGTGTGCTGGGTGCACTTGCTGCCAGGTCGTCAAGTTGAGCGAGCTAGTGATCATTATCCTCTCAACGGCAACATGATTGCAAACTGGGCAAGCGCTATTACACGACAGGAGTGTACTGTTGAAGAGCCATCGCAGGACCTCCAGCTGCAGTTCATTATGTCAAAAGACCGCAGCGCATGAGAGAACAAGCGGTGGAGGAAGTCTTCCCCAGCGTCGTCAAGCTCTAGTCTTGAGAACCTCACAAAAGCAATACTTGTTGGCCATCTCGCTCAGTTGAAACAGCCGCAGCAACAGTGTCAACATCAATCAGAGCCATCACAGCGGCGGAGATGGGTTGACATCAAGGCATCAAGGGTGGAGATGGTTCAACATACTCGCAACTTTTTCAATTACTGGAAGCATAGTATGCCTCACGTTGGCGAGAAGATCAGAACCATCTACACGATGTGTAAAGAGGAGCAGTACGATATCAACATGCTTATGGACCCAGTGGATGGTATGACATTTGAGATGTGGACCTTCTATGAGATGCCTCCAAGTATGCTCTCGCATCTCCGACGCAAGGCTCACGATTGGATGAAGGATTACACTGGCCTGTCAGAAAAAGATGTACAGCGTAGTCAGTGGCTGTTGAATAAACAGCGTGAGCAAGAAAGCAGTCCTATAGTGGAGGAGCGGATGCTGTTGGGAGAAATTAGCGGAAATTGAATGTCTTGTCATCTGTTGAAGTTGTGTCTTAAGCAAAGCTCGTAGGCACTACTTGATTGGTTCTTGGGGATGAGCAAAGGTGCCGAAGTCGTCAGGGGTGACTACACGGTCGGTGGTAGGTTAGGTGATAGTTGGGTGGGTGTCAAAGACCTTAACGACGTAGCAGTGAGTAGTACAGAGTAGACTGTCTGATTAGGAAGCTGGATGAGATTCCAATAACAAAGTTGATTGACGAGGTTGAACACAATGCCATAAGGGCAGCGTGTCTACTTGCTATATATTTGGCAGAAGAGGGGTTACTTGAATTGCTTGGTCGCTTGAGTTGCTTGACTGGGACCAATGGTCATACTGAGTATTGCTGACGCGTCCTAACTGCTCGAGTTGCTCGAGTTGCTCGAGTTGCTTGAGTTGCTTGGGTTGCTTGGAACTGAGAGTGATGATCATACTGAGTATCGCCAACGCTGTAACAACACAGGTAATAGAGGGCTCCGAAACGTGTGTGTATCCGCTACGAGGTGTATGGGAGCACTGGGACAGGTAACACAGGAAACAACTCTATTCCTATAGGTCTTGTACAAAAGGATACTCAAAAACTATCTACCATAACTATGTACCTTGCCTTGCTTATATACCTAACAGCTCGATGTAGCTTGGGGGATACCGGTACTTAGTAGGGTGGGGATCAGATAGGAGTCAGATAGTAATCGGGTGGGTAGTATGAGGAAGAACGGTTGGTACGGTTCTTACAGATGCGGTCTCACTGCTTGGTCGATTGATATTAAGAGTGTTGATCATACTGAGTATCGCTGATGCAGTCTCACTGTTCGGTTGATTGATACTGCAGTTCCTTGGCTTCTCTCGTATCGTTGCGTAGTCCTGTTTGTTCAGTGTTGTTTTGCGAGTTGCTCCTTGATCGTAACATCATCTCAACTGTCCACGGGTGTGTCATACTGACACGGCTTGCAGCCAACCAGTCCTTATACATCTGTCAACCCCTATTACCCCTATCTGTCAACCCCTATTACCCCTATCTGTCAACCC